CGCTCGGAAAAAAAAAATTTTTCGACCTGAACTAACCTATATTATCATGAATTGCGATTTTTGAAAATTTAAACGAAAAGTCTTGGATCAAATCTGATTCCTGATTCGTTTTCAACATGTCAAAATTAGTGTCTTCAGAGTTTTTCAGATGTGTAGGACGCTCGGGAAAAAAAAATTTTTTCGACCTGAACTATCCTATATTATCATGAATTGCGATTTTTGAAAATTTTAACGACAAGTCGTGGATCAAATCTGATTCCTGATTCGTTTTCAACATGTCCAAATTAGTGTTTATGGAGTTTTTCAGATGTGTAGGACGCTCGGGCAGAAAAAATATTTTTCCACCTGAACTAATCCTATATCACCATGAATTGCTATTTTTGAAAATTTTAACGAAAAGTCTTGGATCAAATCTGATTCCTGATTCGTTTTCAACATGTCAAAATTAGTGTCTTCAGAGTTTTTCAGATGTGTAGGACGCTCGGGGAGAAAAAATTTTTTTCGACCTGAACTAAACCTATATTATCATGAATTGCGATTTTTGAAAATTTTAACGAAAAGTCTTGGATCAAATCTGATTCCTGATTCGTTTTCAACATGTCAAAATTAGTGTCTTTAGAGTTTTTCAGATGTGTAGGACGCTCGGGGAGAAAACAATTTTTCGACCTGAACTAACCTATATTATCATGTATTGCGATTTTTGAAAATTTTAACGAAAAGTCTTGGATCAAATCTGATTCCTTATTCGTTTATAACATGTCAAAATTAGTGTCTTTAGAGTTTTTCAGATGTGTAGGACGCTCGGCGAGAAAAAAAAATTTTCGACCTGAACTAACCTATATTATCATGAATTGCGATTTTTGAAAATTTTAACGAAAAGTCTTGGATCAAATCTGATTCCTGATTCGTTTTCAACATGTCAAAATTAGTGTCATTAGAGTGTTTTAGATGTGTAGGACGCTCGGGAAGAAAAAAAAAATTTTCGACCTGAACTAACCTATATTAGGTATCATGAATTGCGATTTTGGAAAATTTTAACGAAAAGTCTTGGATCGAATCTGATTCCTGATTCGTTTTTAACATGTCAAAATTAGTGTCAATGAAGTTTTTCAGATGTGTAGGACGCTCGGGGAGAAAAAATATTTTTTGACCTGAACTAACCTATATTATCATGAATTGCTATTTTTGAAAATTTTAACGAAAAGTCTTGGATCAAATCTGATTCCTGATTCGTTTTCAACATGTCAAAATTAGTGTCTTTAGAGTTTTTCAGATGTGTAGGACGCTCGAGGAGAAAAAATATTTTTCGACCTGAACTAACCTATATTATCATGAATTGCGATTTTTGAAAATTTTAACGAAAAGTCTTGGATCAAATCTGATTCCTGATTCGTTTTTAACATGTCAAAATTAGTGTCTTCAGAGTTTTTCAGATGTGTAGGACGCTCGGGGAGAAAAATTATTTTTCCACCTGAACTAACCTATATTATCATGAATTGCGATTTTTGAAAATTTTAACGAAAAGTCTTGGATCAAATCTGATTCCTTATTCGTTCATAACATGTCAAAATTAGTGTCTTTAGAGTTTTTCAGATGTGTAGGACGCTTGGCGAGAAAAAAAAATTTTCGACCTGAACTAACCTATATTATCATGAATTGCGATTTTTGAAAATTTTAACGAAAAGTCCTGGATCAAATCTGATTCCTTATTCGTTTTCAACATGTCAAAATTAGTGTCTTTAGAGTTTTTCAGATGTGTAGGACGCTCGGGGAGAAAAAAAATTTTTCGACCTGAACTAACCTATATTATCATGAATTGCGATTTTTGAAAATTTTAACGAGAAGTCTTGGATCAAATCTGATTCCTCATTCGTTTTCAACATATCAAAATTAGTGTCTTTAGAGTTTTTCAGATGTGTAGGACGCTCGGGGAGAAAAAATATTTTTCGACCTGAACTAACCTATATTATCATGAATTGCGATTTTTGAAAATTTTAACGATAAGTCTAGGATCAAATCTGATTCCTGATTCGTTTTTAACATGTCGAAATTAGTGTCTTTAGAGTTTTTCAGATGTGTAGGACGCTCGGGGAGAAAAAAAATTTTTCGACCTGAACTAACCTATATTATCATGAATTGCGATTTTTGAAAATTTTAACGAGAAGTCTTGGATCAAATCTGATTCCTTATTCGTTTTCAACATATCAAAATTAGTGTCTTTAGAGTTTTTCAGATGTGTAGGACGCTCGGGGAGAAAAAATATTTTTTGACCTGAACTAACCTATATTATCATGAATTGCGATTTTTGAAAATTTTAACGATAAGTCTAGGATCAAATCTGATTCCTGATTCGTTTTTAACATGTCGAAATTAGTGTCTTTAGAGTTTTTCAGATGTGTAGGACGCTCGGGAAGAAAAAACAAATTTTCGACCTGAACTAACCTATATTAGGTATCATGAATTGCGATTTTGGAAAATTTTAACGAAAATTCTTGGATCAAATCTGATTCCTGATTCGTTTTTAACATGTCAAAATTAGTGTCTTTAGAGTTTTTCAGATGTGTAGGACGCTCGGGGAGAAAAAATATTTTTCGACCTGAACTAACCTATATTATCATGAATTGCGATTTTTGAAAATTTTAACGAAAAGTCTTGGATCAAATCTGATTCCTGATTCGTTTTCAACATGTCAAAATTAGTGTCTTTAGAGTTTTTCAGATGTGTAGGACGCTCGGGGAGAAAAAATATTTTTCGACCTGAACTAACCTATATTATCATGAATTGCGATTTTTGAGAATTTTAACGAAAAGTATTGGATCAAATCTGATTCCTGATTCGTTTATAACATGTCAAAATTAGTGTCTTTAGAGTTTTTCAGATGTGTAGGACGCTCGGGGAGAAAAAAAAATTTTCGACCTGAACTAACCTATATTATCATGAATTGCGATTTTTGAAAATTTTAACGAAAAGTCTTGGATCAAATCTGATTCCTGATTCGTTTTCAACATGTCAAAATTAGTGTCTTTAGAGTTTTTCAGATGTGTAGGACGCTCGGGGAGAAAAAAAATTTTTCGACCTGAACTAACCTATATTATCATGAATTGCGATTTTTGAAAATTTTAACGAAAAGTCTAGGATCAAATCTGATTCCTGATTCGTTTTCAACATGTCAAAATTAGTGTCTTTAAAGTTTTTCAGATGTGTAGGACGCTCGGGAAGAAAAAAAAAATTTTCGACCTGAACTAACCTATATTATCATGAATTGCGATTTTTGAAAATTTTAACGAAAAGTCTTGGATCAAATCTGATTCCTGATTCGTTTTCAACATGTCGAAATTAGTGTCTTTAGAGTTTTTCAGATGTGTAGGACGCTCGGGAAGAAAAAAAAAATTTTCGACCTGAACTAACCTATATTATCATGAATTGCGATTTTGGAAAATTTTAACGAAAAGTCTTGGATCAAATCTGATTCCTGATTCGTTTTCAACATGTCAAAATTAGTGTCTTCAGAGTTTTTCAGATGTGTAGGACGCTCGGGAAGAAACAATATTTTTCGACCTGAACTAACCTATATTATCATGAATTGCGATTTTTGAAAATTTTAACGAAAAGTCTTGGATCAAATCTGATTCCTGATTCGTTTTCAACATGTCAAAATTAGTGTCTTCAGAGTTTTTCAGATGTGTAGGACGCTCGGGGGGAAAAAATATTTTTCGACCTGAACTAACCTATATTATCATGAATTGCGATTTTTGAAAATTTTAACGAAATGTCTTGGATCAAATCTGATTCCTGATTCGTTTTTAACATGTCAAAATTAGTGTCTTTAGAGTTTTTCAGATGTGTAGGACGTGTCGACCTGAACTAACCTATATCATCATGAATTGCTATTTTTGAAAATTTTAACGAAAAGTCTTGGACCAAATCTTATTCCTGATTCGTTTCTAACATGTCAAAATTAGTGTCTTCAGAGTTTTTCAGATGTGTAGGTCGCTCGGGGAGAAAGAAGATTTTCGACCTGAACTAACCTATATTATCATGAATTGGTGATTTTGAAAAAAAGTCTTGGTCCAAATCTGATTCCTGATTCGTTTTTAACATGTTAAAATTAGTGTCTTTAGAGTTTTTCAGATGTGTAGGACGCTAGGGGAGAAAAAATATTTTTCGACCTGAACTAACCTATATTATCATGAATTGGTGATTTTGAAAATTTTAACGAAAAGTCTTGGACCAAATCTGATTCCTGATTTGTTTTCAACATGACAAAATTAGTTTCTTTGGAGTTTTTCAGATGTGTAGGACGCTCGGGGAGAAATTTTTTTTTTTTACGTGAACTAACCTATATCATCATGAATTGCTTTTTTTGAACATTTTAACGAAAAGTCTTGGACCAAATCTGATTCCTGATTCGTTCTGAACATGTCAAAATCAGTGTCTTTGAAGTTCTTCAGATGTGTGGGACACTCGGGGAGAAAAAATATTTTTGCACCTGAACTAACCTATATATTATCATGAATTGCTATTTTTGAAAATTGTAACGAAAAGTCTTGGATCAAATCTGATTCCTGAATCATTCTCAACATGTCAAAATTAGTGTCTTTGGAGTTTTTCAGATGTGTAGGACGCTCGGGGAGAAAAAATATTTTTCCACCTGAAACTCAACATTTCTATGTATACCAATACCTGTGCATGTAGGTTATTATTAATTGCTCCAAGACTCGGTATTCTCGAGCATTGTATTCTTATATGTGCAGCTTATTATTAATGAAACACTCATTGGATGAAATTACCTTATTTAAACTACGAAATGGAAAATTCAATTCCAACGCCCTGCTATCTGTGATATCATTTTGTACAGAAGAAATTCGTAAAAAATAATAAATAATAAACTGAAAGTTGCAATAGAACGTTCAAATTTCAGACACTTGTGTAAAATTGGAATAGTCATTAAATGATCGTCAAAAGTTTGTCCATGTTATGCCATCTTTGCCGGCTTCCAGGTGAAACTCCAATCGAATAAGGAGCAACTTTTGCTAGTTCGCAAACAGTACGAAAACAGCGAGGACGCTGTCTCGGCTCTGGAAAAAAGAACCAAAGACCTCGTGGCCCAACTGGACGCGAGCCGCGCGCAAATCTCCCAGTTGTCCCAGGACAGGGACGCCTGCCAGAGGGCGCTAGAGGCGCTGAGGGTGGAGAAGAGCCAGCTGGAGAGGAACCGCTCGGAAATCAACGCGATGGTCGACGCCTTGAATCAGGATTACGACAGGCTGCAGAAGGTCAACGGGAGATTGCAAAAGGTCAGAAGTTCAGATAATATTGTTTAATAAAAAGAATCCGGCTCGAAGGACCAATATGTGTGATTACTGATAGATTGTGGACTAGATTTGTAAGGTTATATGATGTATGGAAATGGAACACACAGATTGTGTGAATTGTAACAGAGATATTGCGGTGTTAAGTACTTGTATGACCGAATTAGGTTAATTGGTAAATACATCAGCAAAAAATGCGAGGTAAAACTAATATACGAAATCACATATTATACCTACTTCCTCATTGTGCCTAGTTATCCACTCCACAAGTTTTTGAATGCATTGTAGTAGGAACGGTTTTGATTTGAATCCCAGACAGCACTGGATATTCATAGAATATTCTCTAAATATGCTAAAAAGGAGGAGTATATTCCGAATATTCATCGATTATTCCTAGAATATATACATGCCTCTGGAACATCTAAAAGGAATATTCCAAAGTGAATAGTCGGACATTTTCAGGGAATATTCAGGTATGAATCTTCCAGGAATATTCCCAACTGAATATTCTCTGTTGTATATTCATGAAATATACCCAACTGAATATTCTGTGGGGTATATTCATGAAATATACCCAACTGAATATTCTGTGCGGTATATTCATGAAATATTCTCAACTGAATATTCTGTGGTGTATATTCATGAAATATTCCATGAACATTCCTATGTTTCCCAACACATAAATACCATTTATTATTTCAGAGATGTGAGTATCGAACATCAATTAGATGTAAGGAGATTTTGAAACAAAAAGTGTTTATGATCCGATTTCGAACAATGCTCTCACAAGAACTTGATATGTATAAAATCATTCAATTCGATTACTGGCCTAGTGGTCAAGGCGTTGCTCTGATAGTCTTGAGGTCACGAGTTCGATCCCTACTTGGGTCACTTTTTTTTATTTCAGAATATGTTTATTGGAATATTCCAGGAACATTCAACATAGAATATTCTTTTGGGTATATTCTATGATTATCTGAGGAATTCCCATTCGCATATTTAGAGAATATTCCAAAGATATTCCGGAATATTCCAGATTATTTCTAGAATATTCCAATATTCCGAAAGGAATATGATAGGGAGATTCATGGAATATCTGGTGTTGTCTGGGATGGAGGATTAAAAGAAGAGGCATATGCCCTACCATTCAAAAAATGATACATACATTCAGAAAATATTGATTGTTCATTAAAAACTGTCAAGATGATACCCAACATGAATATATAAATATACAGCACACATGACATATGAGCACATAAGTTTAAATACCTACATAACCTTTTTCACCATTTCTCTACCATGGGGCCAGTCTGAAATCAAAATTAATTTATCTGTATATAGTCAAATTATGTAATATATACTGAACCCTTGTTAGGAAACTGTTGAGTTTGAAGAACAATAAAGAATCTATCTATCTATCTGACTGTTTCACAAACACTAGGATGAGAGAAAACAAGGATCTGTCTGTACCCTGTTAAGATGACAAATACGTCAGTTTGCATCAAGGGACCCTGAGTCCACTGTCTATCAAGCATCGAACATATTGGTCCTTCGAGGCGGATCTTTACAGATAAAGTCGCCTTTAATACTGTCTGCCATTATTTCAATATCTCTCTACTTCTGCTATAGTAAGTGACAGGATAAAGTATCGATTTATCTTAAGGAGTTGGAGGAGTCGCTCAGCGACAACGCCTTCCAGCAGGCGGAGATCGACAGGCTGAACCAGGAGGCGGAGTTGCGGGAGATCGGACTGAGGGGAGAGGAGGACAGGTGCAGCAGGATAAGGGAGGAGCTATTGACGGTGAGGGAGGAGCTCAACAAGCTGTATTTGTCGCACGACATGCTGGAGGCTCAGAAGGCGGAGGCCGACACCCTAATAACCAGTTTGGAGAAGACGAAAGGTTGGTATAGTCTATGTAAAAAAATTGAAATCTTGAGTTTTTAATGAAGTGCCAGTAAGTTTACTAGTGTTGCTTTGACAACCGCAAAAAAATATCTAAGCCCATCAATTTCTGTATAGTTATAAATTTATATTTTTAACCATCTTCAGCTCTTTTGTAGTATTTAATCTATATTTTATTTGAATACTTCTTGAGAATCAGTTGCCACCGTATGTGACGTAAATCAATTCAAACGCTTTTTTCAAATGGAGTAACCAAAATTTTGAAAAATTGTCGCGAATGTCAGTACTCAAACGTGAATCACCTTGTATATTCAAATTTCCCTTATAAATGTTGCAAATTGGAAATAAAAATGGACCTATCCCAGAAAATTCCTCTGAAATGGAAATTTTGACAAAAAACGAATTTATTCAGTAGATACTTTACGAAAGCAGTGTATAAATAAATGGAACCCTAATTTTTTTTTTAATTTTTGTATATTATTAACCCTCTCAACAAACGGACTGAAGGTAGGTCAAAAACATACGTACAGACTATGTGCGTACGTCGAAGAAATTTAGGAAATTCGGATTAATTTTTCAAATTGTCTTTGAAAATAAAACTGGTATTACGCTGTAAGTCGCAATTTCAATCAACTTTCGAATATTATACGAAAATTTCCAAAATGAGATTACTGAATCTTTATTTCTCAAGCCTTCACAAAAATTAGGAGATACGCCATCGAAGTCGTGATTTCAATTCTTGTTAAAAGAATGTTGATAAATAATTTGGCACGACATTCAAGTCGTTATTTCGATTTTCTAACTGAAATATATTATTTTGGGTTTTAGTTTCCCTCTACCTCCTGGAATATTTTATAACTTTTTTCATTATTGACCCTCTGAGAAAAATATCGCGTACGGTAGGTACGCCCATAAAGCCCTGATTTCAACTCTCTGTCAAGAAAATTCCAAATTGTGATTTTTTTATAGTTATTTTTGACCATCAGGTAAAAATTGTTTCTCTCCTTCCTTATGTATGGTTGCATGTCCAGAATATTTGAAATTTCTAACTGTTTTTTCTTCGTCGGTACTCAATCGACTCATGTCCAGAAAGTCTAGATATTCTGACTTTTTGATTTCAGATTTAAAAATATTGGGTATGCGTCCAAATTTTTTTCTCAACCCCCTCCTACAACCCCCAGATTGTCTCCTTCGGTTGGTTTTCAAAATGTTACCTTCCAAACGAGTAATGTAGGCTCCATTTGAAAGTAATGTAGAGTTTATCTAAAAATTCGAAGAAAAAAAATCGCACTTCATCCTGTTTAGCTGATTACGAAATGCAGCTCGACAAAATCTTGGGCGAAAGAAGCGACGTTCACGACTCGCTGGTCAAAAAAGAAACCATAGCGACCAATCTCGAACTGGACAAGAAAAAACTATTGGACGACATCAAAAGAGTGAGTCCTCGCACTTGCACGCTTCTAATGTTCTATAAATTTCTCTTCTCATTCCAGCTGGACGACGAAAAAAAAACCCTTCAACACCAATGCAACGATCACCTGAGCGATATCCAGTCTCTCAGAAAAGAATTATTGCAAGCCGAACAGCAAAGATTGGACCTCGAATCCGATAAAGTTTCGTTGTCCGAAAAGTGCAAATTCTTGGAAATCGAAAAAGGGAAGGTGAGGTTATGAATGTTGGGCGCAATTCCTTTAGCTACAAAATACCAGAACGCACATGAAATTGACAATAACTTCAAAGTTCAAACTATCCTCTCCTGAATTCCGTGGTTTTTCAAATACATATAATGCAAGCAGATTTACAAAAACCTTCTTCCAAATTATGGGAAATTTCAGGGTCAACCAACTGAATATCTTTAGAGATGTTAAGATAGAAATCCCAGCTTTTATCCCAAGATTTGATCAAATTGGCGCAGTCGTTAGGAATAACTTATATTTCGAAGAATATGAACATAATCTTGATTAGGTATCATGGATCTGAATGGAAATTGCATTCAACTTATGAGAACTCAAACGAGAAACAAGTTTTCTTAGAAATTGTAATAACACCAGTTATTATATTTCAAGAATGCTTACAACTTTTCTATCACATGTTACATACTTCCTTCTTATAACCCTGCTTTGAAAATTTTCGTAAGATCGAAATGGAATTGAACCAAGTGACCAGAGAAAGGAACGATCTGAGCAATCAACTCACCGTCCTCGCAAGAAAGAGGGACGCTCTGGGCGAGGAACTGACCAGGTGCAGACAAAAACTGGAACAAGCCACCGAAACCAATGCCAGGGTCAACAGAAATCTGGAAGATCTGGTCAAAGATTGCGAAGAAAAACAGGTGAGTTTGTATGTTTGCAGCGGCAAATGAAGCGGGGTGTTGAGTCTGGAGAGCGCCATGGACGCTGTGCTTGTGGCCAGCAAGTATTCCAGATTTAACACTGCTTGACCTGATTTTACTATTTACCTTGATTTCATCAAGTGAATTTGAAATATCATTTTCAATTTTATTCCCAGGCTTGAATTTGAAATTTCAGGCAATTGACCAAGGAATTATAGCTATTTCACTGCCTGTGTAGAGGCAGCGAAGTAACACACCGTAAAATGCCTAAATATTGTCAAAGTGTAAAAGTGTTACTTTACTGCATAAATGGCGAAAGTTCTTTTCAACTTTCTATTGCTATTCTACTGCAGAGTACTTACTTTACGGCCTAGGCAATAAAAATGCTACTTTAGTGTCTAGACAGTGAAAGTTCTACTTCACTGCCACTTTACTCTCTTTAACTGCCTAGGCAGGTACTGCGTGGTCTAGGCACTTGAAGTAAAAGTAATACTTCGTTATAGAGGCAGTGGAAAGCGCTAATATACTGCCAATACAGTAAAAATACGTTTTTATTGCCTTGACAGTAATAGTACTACTTTAGCGCTTTGATAAAGAGAAGTTCACTGGCAGTGGCAAGGACGTGTAGCAGCACAAATTATCAGTTATTCCAATGCAGATATAGAGACAGAAAAGCAATTTCTCTGCCACTGTAGAGATGTGAAGCTATTTCACTGCTTGCATAAAGCCAGTGTTAGCAGAGGCCGTGAAAATGCAGTAAAAGTGTAACTTGGTTGTCTGAGCGGTAAAACTGCTATTCTACTGTTCGGCCACAAAAAGTGTTACTTCATTTCCTAGTTAGTGAAAGTGTTGTTTACTTCCGGATTTTAGTGTGCCATCAACGTTATGGACAAAAATGGAGTAAAATTGAAAATGTATCGTAATACGACTACTTAACTGTATGACCTAATTTACTGTTTTTTGCTATCCAGACAATTGAAGTTCCACTTTACTGTCTAGACAGTGAAAGTGCCACTTTACTGCCTAAACAATGAAAGTGCTACTTTACTGCCTCTAAACAAAAAATTCACTGACAGTAGGGATGCATACATTTTGGTGTGCAATTCACGCTATGGACAAAATGGAGTGAAATTGCAAATGTATTGTCTAGACTGTAATACGGCTACTTCACTGTATGACCTAATTCACTGTTTTATGCTATCCAGACAATTGAAGTTCCACTTTACTGTCTAGACAATGAAAGTGCTACTTTCCTGCCTAGACAATGAAAGTGCTACTTTACTGCCTCTAACCAAAATAATTCACTGACAGTAGGGATGCATACATTTTAGTGTGCAATCAACGTTATGGACAAAATGGAGAGAAATTGCAAATGTATTGTCTAGACTGTAATACGGCTACTTTACTGTATGACCTAATTTACTGTTCCATGCTATCCAGACAATTGAAGTTCCACTTTACTGTCTAGACAGTGAAAGTGCTACTTTACTGCCTAGACAATGAAAGTGCTACTTTACTGCCTCTAAACAAAAAATCCACTGACAGTAGGGATGCATACATTTTGGTGTGCAATCAACGTTATGGACAAATTGGAGTAAAATTGCAAATTAATTGTCTAGACTGTAATACGCCTACTTTACTGTGTGGCCTACTTTACTGTCTTCCACTGTCTAGACAGTTGAAGTGTTACTTTACTGCCTAGACAGTAAAAGTACAACTTTACTGCCTAGACATTAAAATTACTACTTCACTGCTTCTGAACGGGAAAAATTCACTGACAGCGGAAAAAACGTGATTTCCAGTGCGCCATCGACGCCATGGACAAGGACATGCAGCGTCTGCAGGAGCTGCTGGCCGCCGTGCGAACGGAAAAAGAGACCTTGGAGGCGGTCCTGTTCGACACGCAAACCAATCTGGAGACGTCCGAGGACAAGCGCAAACAGCTGGAGAACGACCAGCAAGACTTGCTGGTGAAGCAGGAGAAGCTGAAGGCGCAAGTGGCTCGGCTCACCAAAGATCTCGACCGGTCGGAGAAAAAGTTCGTGGAGGTGAAAAATACTTTGACGCAGTCGGCCGGCAATAAAGAGGTGGAATTCAAACAGACCTTGGATAAATTGAGGCAGCAGAGCGATGAGAATGTTAGGAAATTGAGCGAGGAGAAGGAGAAGATAAGGATTTCTTTGGAGAAGAGGTGATTGCATTTTTCCATTACAAAATATTTTTTTTTATTATTATTATTGTTTGTAGGTTGCAGCAGTCTTTGCACCAGTTGACCAACGAAAAAGATGCGGAGATCCAGCAGCTTCTAGATAGGATCGAAAATCTACAGGGTCATATCGAGAATCTGTGTCAGCAGCATGAAGAGCTGATGCTCCGTGCAGAGAATGATAAACAGCAAGCTTTGTTAATCGGTGAGTTTCAGCTCGATTTTTTCGTCATTTTATCAGTATCTTTAATTGAAGTGATGGAATATATTTTTTAAATAATATGTTGAGAAACCGCCGGCATATATCATCATTGTACAGGGTCTTCACGTATATTTTGAACCCCCACTTAACTGTTTTACGTATTGTTAAATTTCTTTTTCAAGGAACGTTCTTCTATATTTTTTCCTGTAGATTTCATATATGCCAATAGAAAAACACTTGAACATCTCAAAAAATACTTTTGGGCAAGATATATGACTCTTTTCAATAGGACACCCTGTATTTTATTGCATTTTTAGATTCTCCCTGGAGAGCTGATTTTATCAATATATCACAGTTGGGGTCTAGCGGGAATGATTACAGAGATATAGGGTGTTCAAAATCGAGATTTTTCAACTTAAGGATTTTTTTGTGTCGAAACTATTCATTATTGGTCAAAACGGCTTTAATGTCCCTATCTTAACTTTTGATCCACTATCTACTGACATTTAATTGATAATTTTTCACCACCCTGTATTCGTTTCAATTAAACTAGATGCGCTACTGCTCAGTGGAATTTGCTTAGATCAGAGCCTATATATGACAGACGTGTGTGAAGACGGGCTCATACAGTGTTCGGCAGGCAGCCGAGTTAAGAGCAAGTGTAACCCTTGTCCATGTCATTTGTGCTCGTGTTTATTGAATTATGGCCATAATATAACAGGACATGAAAACCGTTTTGACCAATAAGGAATAGTTTCGACAGAAAAAATTCCTAATGTTGAAAAAATCTCAATTTTTCACACCTTATAATATCTCTGTAATCATTTCAGCTAGACCCCAATGGTGATAGATCGATGAAATCAGCTCTCCAGGGAGATTAAAAAAATGCAATAAAATACGAGGTGTCCAATGGAAAAAATTATAAATGTTGCCCATAAGTATTTTTTGAGATGTTCAGCTGTTTTTCTGTTGGCATATATGAAATCTACAGGAAAAAATATAAAAAAACTTACCTATAAAGAAGTTGGGTGGGGGTTCAAAATACACGTGAAGACCCTGTAAAAAAAAGATATGCTGTTGAAATTACCTTCAACATTGTATAATGAAAATTGAGGAGTCAAGAATTATAATTCTTCAATAGTTTTGTGGTATTCTTTCGAATTAAAATCAAATATTTCCTTGAATATAGCATGAAATAGATATTCACGTTACGTAAAGTAAGACGTTTAAAACTTCCGTCACTCCGTCAGTTTTGAGAAGTATCAAATTACATGTTCTTCAGCTTCTCGTCATGATCTACAGAGCACAGATACGGCCAGTTTTAGAATACTGTTCTCATGTAAGGGGTTCAGCACCCAAACATACGCTGATGCTCTTATATCTCATCCAGAGAAGAGCCATTCGCCTGGTGGGTGATGCCACACTCACCAACTCTTTGGCCCCATTAGAACACCGTGGAAAAATCGGCGACCTTTCACTTTTCTATACGGGAAATGTTCCTCAGAAATGTCTGCTATAATTTCATCACTAACAATACCAGTCAGACAAACTCGACAATCCCAGTCAGCACATCCCTTCGTCATTAACCTTGAAAAATGTCGAGCAACTCTCGGAATTCTTTGCCAATAGAAGTATTTCCAAGAACTCATATAACCTCCAAAAGTTGAAAAAATATCCAACACGTACCTACCGCCTCTCCTAGTCCTCCCTTGGTACGCGCAATATTATAGGAATTTCCTTTCGTGCGCTCCAAGAGATAAAGAAGAGCTTAAGCTTAAGACATTTTCTACATCACCAAAATTAAAAAAAAAGTTTCATATTTTTTGCAATTGACACATTATTTCGATTGTTCAATTTCTCATCTCACCTATCTGACTATCAAAAGAACAAAAAAATCGAACTTCATATTTTTTTATATCCTCCACAGATCAAAACAGTTTGGGGCATATTTATTTCTCAAAAAATAACCTGGCTCTATCGTTGTTGATTCACTTGGTATATTTTATTTGGCAAATTATTTTTTTCCGAACTATTCTCTAACTATTGAAACACTCGTTGAATAAAAATATGACTGTCACCGACAGGTAGAAGCTCATAAATAACGGTAATCCAGCGGCTGAAACGAAATAAAAAGAGTGATGATTTCATTAATGAAAATAGATTTTATAAAATGATATCATCAAAACATTAGGAAAATGACTGGGTTCTAAATTTAATTTGCATAACAAAGCAAGCAATATTTATTGTAATATACAAGCGATATCTTTTATATACGTAGAAAGATTTCAGCAAAAAAACATTCTAGTTTGGTGCGCCGTAGTTTTTTATGAAGAAACAGAAAATCGTTGGTATGGTATTTTTGTATGCAATTTTTTTGTCCGTATTATATTATCTACATCATTAGTGTTCTAAGTCAGGCATAATCAGGTAAAGAGAATACGTGTTGGGAAAAAATTACGATTTATTGGTGTATACATATATTTAATAGTGGTCGTTACATGGAAAATCAAAACAAAATATTATCAATATACAGTGTGTCCCACTTACCATGCTCACCATGGGTATCTCTTTAACGGTGAGAGATACGAGGTCGGTTAAATGACACCAAATGTGGAGTTTGTCAAGGCCAACTACAATGTGAAAAAATATTTTGATAAAATCTATTCGTTTTTGTTTTATACGCAAAAAACAGATTTTGATCATTTTCATGACTCCTCCGTAACTTCTTTATTTATGAAAATATTCAAAAAGGAATTTCACATTCTCATGGCAGTTTTTCAAAGTGATTTTGAAAAAAAAATGAAATTTATACCAACTCTTCTAGAATTTGAGATATCAGCACCAACTTTAGTCTTTCGAATGTAGGTCATAGCTCACTATGACTTATAGTAACAAATAACTTTTTTTTCTCTTACAGATGATATGTCGCAGTAATAGTTTTGTGTTGATAACAACGGAGTTATCGTCATTTATACGAAAACAAAAAATTATTTGGAAGCCGCCATCTTGAATTTATAAATTTTAACAAAAAATCATGATCTCCGACCTTAAAAACCCCCACTTACCAATTTTGAATGGAGTCGGACCAAATCTTGTCCGCCATCTTGGAGCAGCCATTTTTTCAATTTCAACAAAAATTCCATAATGTATTATCACCGAAATTATAAACACCTGCCAAATTTCAAGGTAATCGGAGTTATGGAATTTTTGTTGAAATTAAAAAAAATGGCTGCTCCAAGATGGCGGACAAGATTTGGTCCGATTCGGTTCAAAATTGGTAAGTAGGGGTTTTTGAGGTCGGAGATCATGATTTTTTGCTGAAATTCATAGATTCAAGATGGCGGCTCCCAAATAATTTTTTGTTTTTGTATAAATGACGATAACTCCGTTGTTATCAACACAAAACTATTACTGCGACATATCATCTGTGAGAGAAAAAAAAGTTATTTGTAACAAAGTCATAGTGAGCTATGTCCTACATTTGAAAAACTGAAGTTGGTGCTGATATCTCAAATTCTAGAAGAGTTGGTATAAATTTCAAATTTTTTTCGAAATCACTTCGAAAAACTGCCATGAGAATGTGAAATTCCTATTTGAATATTTTCATAAATAAAGAAGTTACGGAGGAGACATGAGAATGATCAAAACTCCACATTTGGTGTCATTTAACCGACTTCGTATCTCTCACCGTTAAAAAGATACCCATGGCCATGGTGAGCATGGTAAGTGGGACACACTGTATTTCAGTACTCACTAATTATTATGAAGAACGTTGACATTCTTTCAACTATACAGGGTTTCCCAAAAGAACCGGAACGGCCGAATATTTCAGCAACGGCTAGACATAAAATTATGAAATTTGGTATACGGGGGTAATCAGTTGTGCCGGATCTAAAAATAATATTTGCAACGTTGCCAGTTTCACAGTTTTTCCCATAGAGCCCTCAACTTTATTTTTTTAAATGTAATGCTATGTTTATTTTTAGCGCATTCGATTTGTCGTCTCAAAACTACTATGACCCTATAATATCAAATTTGTATTCCCTTTATTTTTGTTGATATGACAAATGAACATTTCGTCAAAAAATATCACAAAATTTCAATATTTCGAGAAATCGTGGCGATATGACAATAAAAATCAATTTATAAGGAAGTTTTCAGCAAGTCTGATCTAAAAATACCATTTACAACGTTGCCAAATCTACATGTTGTTTATACTAAATCTTCCTAAGTATTTATTTAAACTGCCTTTTTAATAGATCGGCAAACTCTAGATTTTTTTATTTGTTTCTCGGGACACTAATTCATGAACTTCTTGATAGCTTCTCATGATCAATAGGGTTTGATTTGTTTAGGTTACAAGAATGTAATTTCATGGCATCAAATAAAATGCTCAATAATTAAGTACAATGAACTGTACCAGTATATCACCTGACGAAGCTACTGTGTTAGCGAAACATGTCGTGTGTTTGAGAATTTTGTGGAAATTTTATCGTTTGTGAAGTTTTTACATTTTTTAATTAGTTATTACAACTACACTCTACATTGAGAAGTGTTGGACTTCTACCAGAGATTGACTGTTTGTATTAGCTCACCACGATCACCAGGCGCTCCACGATAAATTCGAGGCCACCAAGAGAGAATTAGAGGACGAAAGGGACACCCTAGAAAGACTGAAACGCGAAGCCAACGGCAGATTCGAGCAGGACAGAGCGAGCATAAACCAACTCAAGGAAGAACTCGCTAAGTTCAAGAGCAAACTAGAGGAGGCCCGGTTAGTAATAAAGAATTATTGATTCATTGATTTGTAGATAGTTCTAAAAATTGTCAAAAAAGTCTTCCGATAAAGGTCATATTTTACGGGGGGGTCCCTCAGGGGTCAGTTCTAGGCCCACTTCTCTTCATGATTTATATCAACGATATGGTTAGTCTAGATATTTCTGGGCACCTAACTTTATTTGCAGATGATACAACGATTCATTATCGGGCATAACGAAGATCGAGCTAAGTAGTTTGGAAGAGTCTATTTCAGTGGACGTTGAAAGCATTAAAAGTTGGTGTGAAGCTAATATGCTAACTCTGAATTTTTCTAAAACAAATTTAGTGACATTCAAGTCTGAAGTTGAACAAATTACGCTAGGAGATCAACTCATTGAGAGCAAGTCTGTCACGAAATTTCTTGGTGTTCACATAGATAGCAATTTCAAGTTTGACCATCATATATCAGCTCTTGAAAAAAAATATCCTCCGGTTGCTTCGCAATCAATATGATATCCCGTGAACACTTATTGAATCGCATCTGAGGTATGGAATTTCATTCTAGGGATGTTGCTGTCATGATCTCTTAAATAGTGTTTTCGTCCTTCAAAAACGAGCTCTGAGATTTGTATTCAAACTCAAGACGCGTGACTCATGCAGGCCAATTTTTCGCAAAAATAAGATATTCACGGTCTTTGAAATTTTTTTTCAAAAACAGTCTGTTTGCTTCACGAATATAAAGGAAATTTCACGAACACAAACATAGACAAGATTACGCGTGATAAAAGAAACCTTGCTCTTCCTCTGCCTAATTCATCTTTAACGAGACAATCCTTAATTTATAGGAGTAAAAAGATTTACAATCATTTACCAGATTATATAGCTATAATCAATGATTTGAAACACTTCCGGAAATCTGTCAAAGATATGTTAGTGGAAAAATGCTAGTAAATTTTAGACGAATACTTAACCTACAAATTCTAGTCCTTCTATGATCTGTGAGAATTATTAGAGATTCATATTATTGATTTTGAAGAGACATGTTCTTTGTACTAATGAAGATACTTGTTCTATGTTATTTTATATATATTTTTGTTCTATATTATTTCTATATATTCCTCTTCTATCATATTTTATTTATTTATATCTTGCAATCAATGTATCGCAAGATATTGACTTTGTCGACAAAATGTGTTCATTTTAGACAATAAAGCTTATCTATCTAACGTGTGATCCCAAACACTTTCTTAGGCCATCAGAAAAATGTCTGTGGTCGTGATGGAAATCGAACCCACCTACCGGCATTCCAACGTGGATGGAATACTGACGCTTCAACCACGAGGCTAATTCACCTATCGATTTTTTTATTCATTCATTGATTAATTCATTGATTAGTTAATAATTGATTGATTCATAAGTTGGTTTATCGATGCACTGATTTTTTTTAGTTCATAATTAATCGCGGATTTATCAATTAATTTATTGATTGGTTGGAGAATTGATCGTTTCATTGACTATTCATTACTGATTCCTCTATTGAGCGATGGAATAATTCATCGATTCATCAATGGATCCGTTTACTGATTATCGATTGATAGAAGGCCAGGTCGTGATTGATTCAATAATGCTATTGATAATAATTAATTGGTCCATTGATTGATTCATGTGTCGGTCTATTAATCGATTGATTAATTTATCAATTCATTCATTGATCTATTTATTTACTGATCGCTTCATTGATTAATCGATGAATTGATTGAAGAGTCAATGACTCTATACCATGATTGATTTGTTTTTTTTATTATTTTACTGATTGAATAATTAATTGATCAAAATATCGATGTATTGAATCTTTGTACGATTTGTTCATTGATAAGATGGCCGAGTAAAAATAACTAATATGGATTGATTGATATATAAATGAAATAATTCATAAATTCTCTCTTTGTTTCATCAATCCAGGTATTGACCTGTATATTAATTGATTCATTGATTGATTCAACGATGAGATTTCCATAAATTCCAATTTTGTGGAGATCTTATCGTTCTTGAAGTTTTCAAATTCATTGGTTGGTTGGAGATTCTTCTATTGAGCGATAATAATCCATCGATTCATCAATAATTGATCCGTTTTATCGATTGGTAGAAGGCCAGGTGATTAATTCAGATTCACTGATTCATTGGTTTATGGATTGATTTATTGATTGGTTCATTAATTTATAATAATTTAATGATTCATTGATTAATAATGCTGATGATAATAATTAATTGATCCATTGATTGATTGATATGTAGAACTATCAATATAGATTAAATAATTTACCAATTCAATCATTGATTTATTGATTTACTAATCGATTCATTGATTCATCAATGTATTGAATCTTTGTACGATTTGTTCATTGATATATGGCCAAGTAAATTTAACTAATATCGATTGACTGATTGATAAATGAAATATTCATTCAATCATTCATCATTCCATCAATTCAGGTATTGACCGATACATTAATTGATTCATTGATTGATTCTTTGATCTTTGATTGAGTGATTCATTGTTTGAGTGATTCATTGCCTTACTCAGTCTCATCAGCTAAAAGAGATGCCTTCAATCATTCATTCAATTGATACATGTTCGAAGGTTGAGGAGTGAGGAGGAGATTCACAAGTTGGAGCAGAGGATAGAGGAGGTTAGGTTGGAGAGGGATAACTGTCAAAGTGAGGGGGAAAATTTGAAAATCCAGCTGCAGCTGTGCGAGAGCAAAGGCGAAAGTGCCAGCAATCAGCTGCACGAGACCATCAGGAAACTCAAAGAAAGTAAGATTCGCTGACAAATACATCTAAAAATTATTGTGCATTCTGCAGTGTGTCCCACTTTACCATGCTCACCATGGGTATCTTTTTAACGGTGAGAGATACGAGGTCGGTTAAATGACACCAAATGTAGATTTTGTCAAGGCTACTAACTATAATGTGAAAAAATATTTTGATAAAATCTATTCGTTTTTGTTTTATACGCAAAAAACAGATATTGATCATTTTCATGTCTCCTCCATAACTTCTTTATTTATGAAAATATTCAAATAGAAATTTCACATTCTCATAGCAGTTTTTCAAAGTGATTTCGAAAAAAATATGAAATTTATACCAACTCTTCGAGAATTTGAGATATCAGCACCAAGTTTAGTTTTTCAAATGAAGGTCATAGCTCACTATGACCTAGTTACAAATAACTTTCTTTTTTCTCACAGATGATATGTCACAGTGATAGTTTTCTGTTGATAACAACGGAGTTATCGTCATTTATACAAGAACAAAAAAATATTTGGAAGCCGCCATCTTGAATTTATACATTTTAACAAAGAATTCATGATCTCCGACCTCAAAAACCCGCACTTACCAATTTTGAATGGAATCGGACCAAATCTTGCCCGCCATCTTGGAACAGCCATTTTTTTAAATTTCAACAAGAATTCCATAATGTATTGTCACCGAAATTATGAACACCTGCCGAATTTCAAGTTAATCGGAGTTATGGAATTTTCGTTGAAATTAAAAAAAAATGGCTGCTCCAAGATGGCGGACAAAATTTGGTCCGATTCCATTCAAAATTGGTAAGTGGGGGTTTTTGAGGTCGGAGATCATGATTTTTTTGTTAAAATTTATAAATTCAAGATGGCGGCTTCCAAAAAATTTTTTGTTCTTGTATAAATGACGATAACTCCGTTGTTATCAACAGAAAACTATCACTGCGACATATCATCTGTGAGAGAAAAAAAAGTTATTTGTAACTAGGTCATATAGTGAGCTATGACCTTCATTTGAAAAACTAAAGTTGGTGCTGATATCTCAAATTCTAGAAGAGTTGGTATAAATCTCATATTTTTTTCGAAATCACTTTGGAAAACTGCCATGAGAATGTGAAATTCCTATTTGAATATTTTCATAAATAAAGAAGTTACGGAAGAGACATGAAAATGATCAAAATCTGTTTTTTGCGTATAAAACAAAAACGAATAAATTTTATCGAAATATTTTTTCACATTATAGTTGGCCTTGACAAACTCCACATTTGGTGTCATTTAACCGACCTCGTATCTCTCACCGTTAAAAAGATACCCATGGTGAGCATGGTAAGTGGGACACACTGTATATGACGTGGAATTTTTCAGCTGAAAACAACTCTGAATCTCTGAGAAAAGAGTTGACGGACGTACGCAGGCTTCTGGCAGATGGAAATTTCGAAAAGGAAAAATACCACAATACCAACAAGGAGCTGCGAGATCACATCAAAAGAACGGAGAGTGAAAAGAGAGAACAAGCTAGACAACTAGAAGAGGCTTTCAAATCTATCACGAGTAAGTCGCAATAAATTATAGTTGAGTTGTTTGGAGATTGTTCAAATCAAATTGTATTGTATCATTCAAGATATCTCCAGTATGATTGCATTTTATGGGTGAGACTTAACCATGCTATGTGAAGAAACATTCGATAAATATCCTTTGGTAACTTGGCAACTGCGCTGTGCGCTGTCTAACTACCAGATTCGAGATCTGAAGCGATGTTGCCACGATTTATATGAATCTCCTCTGGCGTAAATCAATAAAGCTCATCTCCTATAGGATGAAGCAACTAGCTAGGAATCTTTCCACTCATAAAGAGAACAATGAATCATCATTTATGAATGTTTATAGCCAGACTAATTCTGATATTTCCAGATGTATTTTGATATCTGACAACTTTGTAAAATTTCTTTACTCACTGAGTCGTGATGTCAGTATAGTTATGAATGGCGAATTTCGACCGTTCGAATTACTGTGACATCATATGATCTTGAGACCTTACAAACCTTACAAACATTAAGATTCAGTGAAAATTAGAAATTGAAATTAAAAAAAAATTGAGTCCACTATGGCACATTATCATAATTCTTTCTCATCCCCATTCCTTATTATTTGCATTGAAAAACACGAATCATCAATGGGATTCCCTTTCGTGCCCCACTAAGCAAAGTTGAACGGACGTTCAGCAATATTGCAAAAGTGAAGTTCCATAATGTAGCGTTGCAGCAATATTACATGTTGCTGTGACATTGCTGGGACTTCACATTTACAAACTTACATTTGCAATATTGCTGAACGTCCGTTTCAGTAATTGCTACAACCTTGCATCAACATAGCTTTCAAATTTGCTTAGTGGGGCGCTCCAAGCGATAAAAACAAGCATACAATCATCAATATTCTAGTGGCAGAAAATCAATAACACTTGATAACTTCAATTGGGATTCCATCAATTGGAAAGTAATGTCAATATTGACGGAATACAATAATACGACTGAAGGCTTCACCTTCTTTCTAGACCTCGAAGACATCAAACAGAAAATGGAGAACGAGAGACACCTGAAATCCGAACAGATCCAAACTAACAACATAACCATACAATTTCGGTTACTTCCAAATGTATTTGACATCCGGCAACTATGTGTTTCACTCACTGAGTCGTGACGTCATTAGTTAGTAGTGGCGGATTTCGACTGTTTCATTGATACTGTGACCATTGAGATCGACAATGCTGTGACATCATTTGAAATTATGAGACCTCAAAACAATTCAGAAATTTCTATATAATTATAAAATTGAGAGTCAAATTCACTTTTTTAGTCTCACCAGTTGACGTTACTAGAGCATGCGGTCTTTGTCAAATTCAAGGCCTATTTTTCCGAAAATGTTCTGAAAAAATTATATGACCTATGTGAACAAATAGAAAAGCTCAAGTTATGGTTGGACTTGATCAGTTTTGAGTTTTGAACTACCAATGTGGAACTTTACAGAAAGAATCCAAATGAAACGAAAAAAGGATTATTCCATCAACCTTGACCTCACCACAGTGACTCTTTACGGCTCAGTAGTGCGCTCTGGTGAACAATAAAATACCTATGTTAGCCCCAATGATCTAATAGTATATAAGATAGTTTGTAGAGAGAGAGAGAGATGTTTTCATGACAATACAAGCGTGAAACGCAAGGCGCAACGAAATCACGTGTTGGTTGGGTACAACTTTTGTCCCACCCTCTCACCATGCTATTGCATTGTGAATTTGATATTTGAAGTTATTTTCATTAGATTTGAATGTTAACAGAGAATTTATGTACTTAAAGACTTTGATGACCAAAATTCACCAAACCACGAAAATGTTAGAGCAAACAGACTGTCTGTTTTCTGTTTTTATTCGACTAACAATAAATCATTCTCGACTCGTTGAAATTTCAAACCAAATATTCATCGTGCCTAAAGATAGATGTGGAGGGAGAACCAACCAATGGATTCGACGAACGAGAGAGAAGCAACTAGTAGCTAGCTCTGTTGTTTGATGGGTAAAATTATATTTGTTTTTTGTTGCACATGCAGCCATGTTGATGGCCCTATCTCTGTCGTATGTGAATTGCAATGCTTTGTACAGAACGGTAAGGCTAGGGATGATCTAGTAGATCATTGGTTAGCCCTCTTTGCATTGAAAACCTCAAGTCATCATACCATCATCAATATCCCATTGGCAGGAAATCAATATAACATTTGATAACTCTGATGACTTGGAATCCCACTTGCAAAGTTATATCGATAATCACCGCCTAATCTCCCGATCGCTCTTCAGCCATGCTGGCCATTTTGATTTTCGACAACACCACCGAAGGCTTCACCTTCTTTCTAGACCTCGAAGACATCAAACTGAGCCTGGAAAACGAGCGCCAGCGCATGCAAAACCAAATCAGGAACCTGGAAACGGAGCAGATCCAGATCGAGCACAAGGTGCAAAGTATCCAGGAGGAGTTGCAGAGGGCGCAAGCTGCCAGCGGGCAACAGCAGACCGAGGAGAAGGAGTTGCAAGCGAGGCTCTTGAACGAAGTCGAGGAGAGAGAGAGGGCGCACCAAGAGGTGCATCAGCTGAGGAAACAGGTTAGTTGTTGTTGTAGTAGGTAGAGGTCCTTGATGTATTCGACACTTGTTTTGACGGCTAGATTTCATAACTGAGAGATCCAGGATGAACAGAGTTGCCCCAATTGTCAGCAGGAACGAGACAGTACTGTTTCGACCCACCAGGTCTCATCAGCCGCTCACCCATTAAGTAAGTAAGGGTCCGTACGTGTGACTATAGATGACAGCGCCATACAGAGAGCTTTGCCACTAGATGGCTACAACATGACAATATAACTTCATGTTATACCCTGCGACTTGTTTTGACGTTTTTTTATATTTGGAGTTCGGATACTCGACAAGCAGTGACAGTAAGACAAAGACATGACCACAAATGATTTCGAAGCAGATCATGTGTTTTGCCAAACAAGGACATGAATATGTTTTACGTTTCAAGCTACATTCAGAGGCAGGTCTGACTAGAGTGAGTAGATTATAAATAGAGTGACGACAATAGACCTCCAAATGGCTGCCGTTTCCAGAATGTCATTCGTGCTCAAGTCACTGTATAGCTAAAATCTGAAGGGTATCTCCCATGCAGTAATGAATTTGCGCCTTCGAAGTGTCCACCTGAAGATAGGTTTAGATATTTGATATTTTCATTCCATCCAAGACAAAGCATTGACAAAGTGAAAATAGAATGCGTGGAACTGAATGGAGAAAACAAGTCAGGTGGATGCATCTACATAATAGAGGTCTGACCAATCAAAAAGTGTTCCACTATTATTGTCGTCACTCTATAAAGTCACTCTAGGTCTGACTATCCTAGTAGGGCCACAACAAGCAAATAAGTTCTAAACGAGCATGAGTCCACTGTTCAACTGTCCAACTATCATACGCTGAACTCTTTTTGACACCAAAATTGAAGTCTCAACGGCGAAGACATAAATTCAAATGCATTCACATGTTATGCAATGGTGTAGATAGCTCTGTGGAATCATGGGCAGAACATCGAGAGCATCTCATCGACATATTTCAATAAATCTGTCTATGAGCGATAAAAAAGTAGTAGTATTTACATAATTATACTGCATTGTGTGACGTCTTAGATCTGTTGTTTTCTATATTTTAAACACGCCTTTCATCATCATATGCGAGCCTCAATATCCTGATCTACTCTAGGGGTAAAGTCATATTTCAATATTAACCTTGCTAGATTTGGAAGGCTTCCATCAACATCAAATTGCTATTGTTCATTTTGTTCATTAGATTTCAAGCTGTTGATATACAGTGTGACCCATTTAAGATGGAAGCACCCTTATAAAACTTACATTTTTCAACCGATTGGAATGATTTTTTTTTGTTAGGTAGATATTCAAAAAGTCTATTAGGACACCAAATATCATGAATAAATCTCCATTTCCAGGGCCAACTAATCTGATTTTTCAAGGTCAAAAATCTAAAAAAAATACTAGCGATTTTTTTAGAAAAAATCTGACTACACCACTGGATTTGTGACATTTTCAAATGGGTAACATGTAAATTACGTTGAAATGCGTCAATCAATAAAAAAGTTATAAAGGAATGAAATTTGAAAAATATGCCGTTTAATCAACCCATCAATTTTTATTACTGAACAGATTTCGATGAAACTGTGATCAGTAATATTTCAAGACATCCTGAATCCAGTGGAGTATACAGAATTTTCATAAAATTCCTGAACATGAATTGGTGGGTTGATTAAACGGCATATTTTTCAAATTTCATTCCTTTATAACTTTTTTATTGATTGACGCATTTCAACGTAATTTACATGTTACCCATTTGAAAATGTCACAAATCCAGTGGTGTAGTCAGATTTTTTCAAAAAAAATCGCTAGTAATTTTTTTAGATTTTTGACCTTGAAAAATCAGATTAGTTGGCCCTGGAAATGGAGATTTATTCATGATATTTGGTGTCCTAATAGACTTTTTGAATATCTACCTAACAAAAAAAAATCATTCCAATCGGTTGAAAAATGTAAGTTTTATAAGGGTGCTTCCATCTTAAATGGGTCACACTGTATATTTCAAACCGTTTTGATCATGGATTATCAAGAAAATACATCTCAATAAACTTCCAATACATATATTCTGCATTACTGATCTCTACCCTTCGCTGCTCAACAAAAAGTAGTTAACCTTGTCGCTCATATAGTACAGGGTGTCCCTAGACCAGTGGGACAGTTGAATATCTCCTGAACCAATAGGAATTTTCGAAATATTATAATTCCACATCATATCGCATTATGAGTGCTAACTTCAGGAATTACTATATCTTCTACGAGGGGCACAAGAAAGGCTCACAAAATCGAACATCAATTTTTTCAAATGGAACACCCTGTATTTTATTGCATTTTCATAATCTCCTTGAAGAGCTGAATTCAATGACCTAGCACACTTGGGCTCTAGCGGGAATGATTTCCGAGATATGGGTGTGGAAAATCGAGATTTTTAATTTTTGGGAATTTTTTGTGTCAAAACTATTCATTATTGGTCAAAACGGCTTACATGTCCGTATCTTAACTTTTGATTTACTATTTACTCGTATTTAATTGAAACAAATACAGGGTGGTGTGGAATTCCGACTGAAACTGAGAATTCTACACCACCCTGTATTTGTTTAATTTGAATACGAGTGAATAGTAAATCAAAAGTTGAGATATAGACATGTAAGCCATTTTGACCAATAATGAATAGTTTTGACACAAAAAATTCCCAAAAATGAAAAATCTCGATTTTCCACACCCTATATCTCGGAAATCATTCCCGCTAGACCCCAAGTGTACGAGGTCGTTGAATTCAGCTCTCCAAGGAGAATATGAAAATGCAATGAAATACAGGGTGTTCCATTTGAAAAAATTGATGTTCGATTTTGTGAGCCTTCCTTGCGCCCCTCGTATAAAATATAGTCATTCCTGGAGATAGCACTCATGATGCGATATGATGTGGAATTATAATATTTTGAAAATTCCTATTGGTGCAGAAGATATTTAACTGTCCCACTGGTCTAGGGACACCCTGTATACCGCCACCTACTGAATAAAATTTCTGGCTTCATTGCTCTCACAAGGATAAATGACAGGTCCTAAATACGCATGATTCATGTCCTCCATTTCGATCACATGACTGGCATAGCTTCATGTCAGCGGTCTTGCACAGTGGTTGATTGCTCGAGGTGTTTCTCTTCAGATATCGGAACTCGAGCGGAATCTCGAACACACCCGACAAGAGCTCGGCAAAAGTCGGTCGCACTCGGCCCAGCTGGAGGAGCAGTGGCACGCTAGAGAACAGGACCTGCTCGTCCACTTGGAGGACGCCAAAGCGAGAGAGAAGAGGCTGGAGGACCAGAAGCACAATTTGGAGGTGTGTCTGGTGGACGCCACCCAGCAGATACAAGAACTGAAGGTGAGTTATTAACACGCATATACAGGGTTTCAAACTTCAACAAAGCCCCAAACATTGTCATCCCTACGAGGGAAGAATGGAATGACACAACACCTGGCGTGCCTCCTCCAAATTGATCATTCTAGAACACGTGATTTTGACATGGTTTCTTGAGGGGCACACAAACTATCTGTTAGGTTACCTTTGATGAGCTTTGCCCAGGCCGTCCCTCTGCCACATCCACAATATAATAACAGTTTCACCAAACAAAATTATGAGATTCTTCCTGGTTCCAACTCCGATTCCAAGGAAAACGATCCCACTAATTCTGGTTTTATAGGACAGATCTTGACAATATACACTCACCGGCAAAAAAAAACCGGCCACCAAAAAATTTTGTCAAGTTGTTCGCCCTGTAACTTCTTTAGTTCTTGTCGGATTTTGGTGAAATTTTGAACAAATCGTAGATTCATGTTCCGGAATGTTAACCTGAATATGAATTCCCAAAAAAGCTGATAGCTTGGTCATTATACAGGGAAAAACAAGAGTTACTCATATACCCATAACTTCTTAACGCCCTGTGGCTGAAGTGAGTGGTTGAACTCCTCTTCATTATGTCTTGGATTGAAGAGTATTCTTTTTTCATCACAATAGTTTTTGATTCACGTCGATATCTCATTGTTTAGAAAAGATACGATGGTTTTAAGAAAGTATGGAGTTATTCAAGTTTTATTTAACAATCATCAGAACGTACATGAACTTATCGATCGACAACTTAAAAAAAAACATCTTTGAATCAATATGGCTTATTTCCACATTGTTTTCTTGGTATACTTTCCATATTATTGGAGACGGCTTTGTCTTGATGCATGACAACGCCAGACCACACGTTGCTCGAATTGTAACCGAGTATTTGAATGAGGTCGGAATTCTAAGGCTTGACTGGGCCAGCATGCAGCCCGGATCTCAATCCTATAGAGCATCTTTGGGATGAACTACAGAGGCGCATTCGTCTACGTCCGGCATTGCCAGAGACTCTTCAAGAGCTACGATTCGCCCTTCAAGAAGAATTTGAGGCAATTCCTCAAGACTGCTTGAGAAATCTGATCAACTCGATGCCACGGCGATTAAATGCTGTAATTCAAGCTCAAGGAGGGCATACTCGGTATTGAATACATCTAGGAGATCTACTTTTCGTTTGTTTTTTGTAATTAAGGTTTTTTTGTGTAGGTGTGTCTACGTTCTGATTATTGTTAATAAAACTTGAATAACTCCATACTTTCTTAAAACCCTCGTATCTTTTCTAAAAAATGAGATATCGACGTGAATCAAAAACTATTGTGATGAGAAAAGAATACTCTTCAATCCAAGACATAATGAAGAGGAGTTCAACCACTCACTTCAGCCACAGGGCGTTAAGGAGTTATGGGTAAATGAGTAACTCTTGTTTTTCCCTGTATAATGACCAAGCTATCACCTTTTTTGGGAATTCATATTCAGGTTAACATTCCGGAACATGAATCTACGATTCGATCAAAATTTCACCAAAATCCGACAAGAACTAAAGAAGTTACAGGGTGAACAACTTGACTAAATTTTTTGGTGGCCGGTTTTTTTTGCCGGTGAGTGTACAATGTTTGCCCCTCAGCAACCTGTCAAATGACGTAATTCTGGAATGATTAATGAGTCGATCTGGTACACGGATGGTTCTAAATTTGGGGGCAGTTCAGGTGCAGGGGTATACAACGAAGGAACAAGAAAAGGAATCTCGGTACCTTTGGGCGAATATGCCTCAGTGTTCCAGGCTGAAGTACTCGCAATACTTAGATGTGTCCAAGAAATTCTGGTTATGAGAGGTCGTAGACCAATCACTATATGCAATCTAATAGAATCACAACCAATTTGGTGTCCGAGTGCAGAAAGGTCTTGGAAAACCTTGCAAAATAAAAGAAAAGTCAGCCTCATGTGGGTCCCGGGACACTCGGGGATACCCGGAAATGAGGAGACAGACAGACTGGCCAAGATCGGTTCAGGACGGACCCCGGTCGGACCGGAACCAATCTTGGGAGGAAAGAGCTCAATTGAGGTCTTTTCTATCTTGAACGAGAGAGGAAAATTCTCTCCTCTTCCATCTCTCTCTTCAATGATACCAACGTAGCCGCATTGAGATATAGAGAGGTCCGATAAATCTGTCCTCACTAATTTATCTCTCTATACGCACTATACAGTGTGTCCCACTTACCATGCTCACCATGGGTATCTTTCTAACGGTGGAGGTACGAGGTCGGTTAAATGACACCAAATGTGGAGTTTGTCAAGGCCAACTATAATGTGAAAAAATATTTCGATAAAATCTATTCGTTTTTGTTTTATAGGCAAAAAACAGATTTTGATCATTTCCATGTCTCCTCCGTAACTTCTTTATTTATGAAAATATTCAAATCAGAATTTCACATTCTCATGGCAGTTTTTCAAAGTGATTTCGAGAAAAATATGAAATTTATACCAACTCTTCTAGAATTTGAGATATCAGGACCAACTTTAGTTTTTCAAATGTAGGTCATAGCTCACTATGACTTGGTTACAAATATAACTTTTTTTTCTCTTACAGATGTTATGTCGCAGTAATAGTTTTGTGTTGATAACAACGGAGTTATCGTCATTTATACCAAAACAAAAAATTATTGGGAAGCCGCCATCTTGAATTTATAAATTTTAACAAAAAAAATCATGATCTCCGACCTCAAAAACCCCCACCCACCAATTTTGAATGAAATCGGACCAAATCTTTTCCGCCACCAATTAAAAAAATGGCTGCTCCAAGATGGCGGACAAAATTTGGTCCGATTCCATTCAAAATTGGTAAGTGGGGGTTTTTGAGGTCGGAGATCATGATTTTTTTGTTAAAATTCAAAAATTCAAGATGGCGGCTTCCAAATAATTTTTTGTTTTTGTATAAATGACGATAACTCCGTTGTTATCAACACAAAACTATTACTGCGACATATCATCTGTCAGAGAAAAAAAAGTTATTTGCAACCAAACCATAGTGATCTATGACCTACATTTGAAAAACTAAAGTTGGTGCTGATATCTCAAATTCTAGAAGAGTCGCTATAAATTTCATATTTTTTTCGAAATAAATTTGAAAAACTGCCATGAGAATGTGAAATTCCTATTTGAATATTTTCATAGATAAAGAAGTTACGGAGGAGACATGAAAATGATCAAAATCTGTTTTTTGCGTATAAAACAAAAACGAATAGATCTTATCAAAATATTATTTCACATTATAGTTGGCCTTGACAAACTCCACATTTGGTGTCATTTAACCGACCTCGTATCTCTCACCGTTAAAAAGATACCCATGGTGAGCATGGTAAGTGGGACACACTGTAGAGAGGTCCGATAAATCTGTCCTTACTAATTTATCTCTCTATACGCACTATATAGGAGTTAAATAATATTAGATCAGTGATCGCGTATGACGTTTGGATTTTTTCAAGGCCAAACTAGGCGGCGCCGAAGGTAGGTTGCGATCTCTGGAAACGCAGCTGGCCCAATTGGAGTCTTCGAAGCGAGACGTCGAACAGAAGCTGAGCAGCGTCGTGTCGACGTTGCGACGCATCGCCGGCGTCCAGCTAGATGGCTCCGTCAATATGCCCTATCGGCTGTTGAGCCCTTCGAGAAGATGGAGCCCGGCTAGATGTGAGTTTGTTATTCATTAATTTATTCATTTATTCGTTTATTCATTCATAAATTTGTTCATTTATTCATTCATTTATTCATACGTTTATTCATTTATTCACTTATTCATTTATTCATTTATTCATTTATTCACTTATTCCTTTATTCCTTTATTCCTTTATTCCTTTATTCATTTATTCATTTATTCCTTTATTCCTTTATTCATTTATTCATTTATTCATTTATTCATTTATTCATTTATTCATTTATTCATTTATTCATTTATTCATTTATTCATACGTTTATTCATTTATTCATTTATTCTTTCATTTAGGGCTAGTTGGGTGTGATTACATCAATTGCCCCAGTTGAAATAAAAGTCGGGGTGATAGTAAATTGTTTTTTGGAGTAATTGTGAACTGATTGACGTGGCTGCTATTCTTTTCAAACTAGGTACAAAAAGTGTGGGAAGTAAAGTGACATTTTAATAATAATAACATTATTCGATCCCAAGAAACATACAATGTTTATAGAGGGAAACAAAGAAAATTATAATAAATAAATCAAATATGCAATACAATGAAAGATAAACAGTTCAAGTGTAAACATTACTCGAAATATCATTAGTTCAAAAACGAAATCTCATCGATTTTGTTCTATATGTTCACAAATACCCCCTTTGAAGTTGAAGAGGACCAACACGATTTTCACGATTGCCCCAAAATCTTCAATAATTTTTTTTCTCTTCGGGAATTGTAAACATCTAATAATTCGATAAATTCACTAACTTCATTATCGCTATGCCAATCATATATGTGTTCAAAAAAACTCCACCTGAGAAAAATTATGTTACAAATATGCAACTTCAGATTTAAATGGACTTCGAGTACTTTTCGTGACAACTACCCCGCCTATTCCATGTTTAAATACTAAATGAGTCACAAAGTCACCTCCACGACATTTAATTCGATTAACACGATATCAAAAATTGCTACATGTTTCGGACATATATATGTCCATCATCAGCCTTACATCAGAAATTACATAATTTTCATGGGAATAAAGAGGTTATGTCAACAACGTTTACATTATAAAAAATAGTGAAGGGGTTTATTTATGGGGAATTAATTATGGGGAAGCAAAAAAATGTTTAATGTCACATAAATGTGTGCCCTTTTGGATGTCATTTGTTGGTTTCCACCATGAAATGAAATAATTGTAGAATTGGACCCAAGTTGCCCGACTGGCATTGTTTAATCTTTGGAAGAAGTCCATGGTAACTCAAAGTGGAGTGGTGTAGTTCATAGATGAAAAACTCAAAGTCATCTCCACAACTCTTCAAGCGCCTCCTCCTCCAAAGAAAAACTAGTCAGCACAGAAGATATGGATTAAACCATTGATGATCTTTGATCATTTCAATAAAAGTTGTGGAGATGACTTTGGGTTTTTCATCTATGAACTACACCACTCCACTTTGAGTTACCATGGACTTCTTCCAAAGATTAAACAATGCCAGTCGGGCAACTTGGGTCCAGTTCTACAAGCGCCTCCTCCTCCAAAGAAAAACTAGTCAGCACAGAAGATATGGATTAAACCATTGATGATCTTTGATCATTTCAATAAAAGTTGTGGAGATGACTTTGGGTTTTTCATCTATCAATTCATTATTATTTTGGTAGTATTTTAATGATTAACGATGAATAAAATTTATCTTTCTTGATCAGTTCCATTTAAAACAATGTCGTTTTTCAGCGTACGATGACGGACGAGATGGTACTATAGATGTCGACCCAGAAGTCGTCAGAAAAGGAGTACGCAATTTGATGCAACAGGTTGCCCAAATAGAAAGAGAAAGAGTAAATATCAAAATTTTCCCAAAAAGTAAACGTAACGTGAGAATTCGATTTTTTTCCCACACAGGACGATTACAAAACTCAAGTGCACACCTCGAAGAAACAACTCCAAGAAGCCCAAGACAGTCAGACCAAAGGAGACAGTAAACTGGGCAAGGTATTGCAGAATTTGCGGATCTTGCAGGATCAAAAAAGCAATCTAGAAGCTAAACTGAGCCAGAAGAATATCGAGGTTCAATCACAGGTGAGTCAATAGATCAATGGGTGTTTTTTGGTAGGTCCCCAGCGAGCACAAACATCCCTGGGATGTTTTGAAAATGTTGGCATGAAGATGTTATTTTGAGACGTAATATGCACTGAGCAAAGAGGTCTTTGAAGGATATTGAAGTATTGTTTTTGTTCTTCTGTGGCATTTCTTTGTTTGCCTACTGAGAGGTATCCCTGGGATGTTTTGGGATGTTTCAGAAATGTAGGCATGAGGATGTTTTTTTGAGGCGTAATATGCACTTCCCAAAGAGGTCTTCAAAGGATAGTGAAAGTATTGTTTTTGTTCTTTTGTGCCCTTTCTTTGTTTGCCCCACCACAACGTCTCATGCTTACGTCACAATACGATGAATTCTGATTTGTTTTCGACTTTGTTCTTCTTGTTCGCAATTGGCATTCGCGTTTTTGCAGCGTGTCACGCTTACATCACGGCCATCACGCTGCTAACAAACAGAAAGGAATTTGGTGAAGTTTTTTGTGTTAGAAGACTTATTTAGTTTGTAATAATGACCATCAGATGCAAGATGTGTTGTTCGGTGCCTCAGTATAATCAATATATAAAAGTACGAATTCATCAATACACAGCTTCTCCGCAGTTGCAAAATTATGCATTGTGGAGAACATTTCAAAAATTGGGAAACCTATTTCCAATTATATGTCTGTGTGTAGTAAGCACCACTCAGAAACCGATTAAGAAGGTAATTCCTTATCAAGAACATATTTTTATGTTCAATCTATTTTTAATGCATTGTTTCATTCAAGGGAAATGGAATCCTAATGCAAAAGTTCATTTTGACAAAAGGCTTCAGAAAAGTACATCGAAAATGGTTTTTTTACAGCGATTTAATGTGCGCAAGACGCGTTGAAAATGTTTTGTTGTGTCCATGAAAAAGCTTTAAAAAGAACTAGGGAGAAGGTAGTTTTGTGACATATCAAGGACATCTCGATAATTGCCGCCTGCGGCGGACATTGTCTGTTTTATAATAGTTCTATTCATGTGTGAACAGAAAATCGCAGTGGAGGTTCAATGTCTCGAAATCTCGTACTTTTAACAGCTCTGAGATGTTTTTGTGCTCGCTGGGATCCATTGTTAATGATTTATGCTCTCTGACCTAACGAATTGTCAATAATAAAATTCATCCATTCACTGAATCGGAAGTAGGCGTTGACAGTCTGAAACTCACTTGTCCTTGTTTCCTTATAAACTGGATTGTGTAAAAACTCCACAAACGATAAGATTTCCACAAAATTCTTAAACACACATGTTTCGCTAACACAGTAGCTTCGTCACGTGATATTCTGGTACAATACACATACACATATCAATCAGCAAAGTATTACTGTTCCTGCCTAGGTAGCAAAGTGCATACTTTGCTGCCTAGGCAGCAAAGTAATATGTATCAGCAAAATTAATTATCCATAAATCGTTTATAATTTCCTTCATATTTCATTCGAGACTTCTCCGGCAACAAATTCAACTCTATATTTTTTGCCACCTCCCTTATTTCTGGAGGTGTAGGTACTTCCAGGTCGCTATCACTGTCCATTATATAATAATTTAAATATACCGATATTTTTTCGCACATATGTCAGAATTTTCATGAATTGTCAAACTATAATTATCATGGACAACTGCGATTTCTATAAAATTTCATTTTAATTGAACACTACAGAAAAAATGAAGAGATTGTGGGAATTGTAATAACTTGCAATTACAATATCCACCTATATCATTATGAACAATCGGAGAAAAAATTATATGTTCAACTCGGCAGCAAAGTAGATTGACTGCCTTAGCTGGATTCCTAGCCTCGGCAGTCAATCTACTACTTTGCTGCCTAGTTAAACGCCTATTTTTATCGGGTTATGTAATTAATGTAATTCTTCTTTAGAGTCAAGCTCTGGAGAAAAAGACTGAAGAGGCCAAACAGATGCGAGACAAGGTCGTCTCGCTGGAATTGTCTCTGAGTAGCGGCAATGAGGAGAAACAGCAGTACGAAGACAAATTGGAGAAAATGAGAATGGCCTGCGACAGACTGGAGTTGGAAAAACGCAGTTTGCAAGAAGAACTGGCCAGAATCGAGAACAGAACCACGAAACTCGAACTGCAGAGGATGTCCGCCGAAGGCGACTTGCAGAGACTGCAGATGATGTTACAGGAAAAAGAATCACATATACAGGTGAGGAAAAAATCGGGACAACGTATAGAGCCAACACCAAAAAATAATTAAATCCTTGGAATTGTCTTAAGTATAGAAAAAGTTATATTAATATGTGACTCCTTTTTTCATGTTATAGTACCTCAAGTCAGTGATGAAAATAGTATACTCATATTTACATAATCTATCAGCGATAGGGTCAACTAGAACTGTCAAGACATTCCCGCAAATTTCGACATTATGTCTGAAAAAAATCAATTTGTTGTTTAGTTTTGAAAACTGTTTCCAATACAGAAGTTCCGCTAGCGTTGAGAGAGAGAGAGAAAATATGTCCTTGTTTTCAGTGTTCAAACGTAAAATAATGAAAATTTTATGTTGGCAACACTGAACATGAGAAGAAATGTGTTGCGTGCAAAGAACTGTCAGATGACCGATCCTGGAGGTGAAACTGAAATACAACCTCACTTTTCTTATTTGTTTACAAATGATTGAAATAGTTTTTCACAATTATTTTGGCATACGAATCGTGTTTTCGGCTATTCATTAATTCGCACATGCCATTGTTGCTGTTTTACAATCTACAAAAAATGCAGCGAGAGACGAAAGAATCCGGTTGGTACGTATGATTTAAAAGTAAGTACCTACTATAGTCACTTACATATTGTTTTCATTTCGAAATTTTTTGATTTCTCTGATTTTTCATCGGAATTTCTTCTGCAATAGGAGCTAATAGAAATACTCGTGAAATTTCTAAAAGAATGCATAAATTTTTAGGTATGCACATTGATTGTTTGTTAAATTGGAATATCCATATAATCAAGCAAACTTAGTAAAATATGTTATGCATTCAGAATACTTTCTAAATATGGTGATATATCGGGTGGCTACGGAAGTATTGCCTATGGAATATCTCAGTTATTGTATGAAGTGGGTTTGTGAAATTTGGAGCGTCGATATAATGACATAAGAGCTACAATTTGAGCACATTGACATGTCGAAGTTAACTTCATGTCTGACCGGAAGTAACATCAACTTTCTTATTTGAAATGGAAACCCTATGTTTTTTTCTTTTCGCTTTATTCAGCACTCAATTCCCTTTCTAATGACATATCACAAGTTGGTATCTAACCAGAAACTAGATCAGAAAAAAATTATTATTGAAATTCACCGAGTAGGCCGTGGAAGCAAAATGAAATCCAAAAATTGAAAAGTTGGCTATGGAAACCATACGTCACTCGAAAACAGTTGCTACTACTGTGATATTGTATTTTCATTCGTCGGCGTTATAAAAAGCCGCCAAAAAAATATTGGAAAAATTGGGAAAAAACAATACTCTGTAGGTCCATAACTCAAATAGGAACATACAACTTTTTCTTGCCTGTACTATTCAGCATAACCATTCCTTTCTAATGATATAATAGAAAGTCATTTTTTGGCTTTCATTTTGCTTCCACGGCCTACTCGGTGAATTTCAATAATAATTTTTTTCTGATCTAGTTTCTGGTTAGATACCAACTTGTGATATGTCATTAGAAAGGGAATTGAATGCTGAATAAAGCGAAAAGAAAAAAAATAGGGGTTCCATTCAAAATAAGAAAGTTGATGTTACTTCCGGTCAAACCGGAAGTTAACTTTGACATGTCAATATGCTCAAATTCTAGCTCTTATGTCATTATATCGACGCTTCAAATTTCACAAACCTACGTCATACTATAACTGAGATATTCCGTAGGCAATACTTCCGTAGCCACCCGGTATGTATGCTCAAAGTTGTGTATCATGCCAATTTTGAATCCTGTTTCAGATATGGTGTTTTATTTAATGGAGGTAGTAGTGGGATAGAGCAAATATTTTTGACCCAAAAAGGAATTATCAGAATAATGTATAAATTAAATTATAGAGAGTCATGCAGGGGTAAATTACGTTCTGCCAAAATACTAACAGTAGTAGGAGTATACATTCAAGAATGTATCCTGCACTTGTTTAAAAACAAACATTACTTTACAGACTACATACCACAAATTCATTATAACACTAGATATTCTAACTATTATTACCCCATACATAGATTAGCTGTTACTGAAAAAAACGTAATATACAACTGCATAAAGTTATTCAATAAGCTACCTGACAGAATTAAAGCAATATCCTCTCTCAAGGTATTCAAAAAAGAAATCTGGGAACTTCTGATATATTTGGAACCATACACGGTGAGTGAATATCTAGATTCAGAGTTGGAAACCTACACAACATTTTGAGGGTAAATATTTCATATTGTATGTACCTCAGTTGTCTGAGTTAGTTGATTTTGTGACGCCTGTTTGTTTCAATAACCTTTTACGGGTTCTGTAGATTTGTATAAGGTTATTTTTTTCAAATAAAGACTATTACTACTACTACTAAGATTGGATTCATACAATCAAACGAGAGGACTGGTCTGACATGCTGACGAAATATGATCGTGTGGGTTGTAGACATTTTCAATCTATTAGCAGTATTAGCTCCTATTGTAGAAGTGGCAGAAGGAATTTTAATAAGAAATGACAAAATTTCATGATGAAAACTATGTAGATTACTATCTACCTGAAATATCATATTCCTTCGTCTCTCGCTGCATTTTTGTGTATTGTACAACGGCACAATCAGAAGGTATGCTTGAAATAATGAATAACGCAAAAAATATGATTCGTATGCCGAAATATTGTGAAAAACTATTTCAATCCTTTGATTCCTCTGTAAAAAAATAAAAAAGTGAGGTTGTGTTTCAATGTTTTACAGAAAAGTGAGGTTGTGTTACCTCCTGGGTCGGTCATCGTCAGAAAAGAATGTCATTCTAACCCTTTTATATCGCTTTTTATATTGAGATTATGATAATCTTCTCCATTTCTTCTGATTTTCAATGTTGTCAACATAAAAGTTTCATCATTTTACGTTGGAACACTGAAGACAAGGACATATGGGAATATTTCCATATTAACAATCCATTTATTTTTCTATAGAAAATCCAAGAAAAATGCGATAAGCAAAGTCGCACCATAGCCAGTCTAGAGGAGAGATGCGTTTCTCTGAAATCCACCATAGACCAAGTGACGATGTCGCTGGAGAAAGCTTCTACCAGCGAATCGGAGATGAAATCCGAATTGCAGAGTCTTCAAAGAGCCCTGATGGACAGTACAACGGCTTCGCACACTGGAACTGAAAGACTCAAGCAGGTAAACCGAACTTTCCACCAAATACATATTCAGATATTCATTGAACTGGAATTCATGAGTCATAAATATTTTGAAAATTATTTCAAAATTCTTCTGGAGGGGTCAAAAATGTTTCTGGAGCGTATCTATTTCGACGGGATTTCAAAATGCTGGTATGGACAGCTCCATAGTTGTATTTGTGTTTTTAAGCATTTAATGTACCAAAAAATGAAAAAAACTTATAATTTAAACAGATTCTTCAAGAGAACGATAGATACAGATATATTTCATTCGATAGATATTAATATTCAGACACAGCAAAACAGGCATCAAAGTACAAAACGAGTACGGAATAAAACAGTTTCAAACTGAAGATAGTAACATAGCACAGCACAGTCGAACTGTCAGAAGTTTGTTTCGGTTCTAAAAAGTGTATTTGTGATATTTTCACCAAAGAGCAAATCATCAATAATTACAGGTAAGATAAGGCAAATTCTTCAAAAATCTGCCGCTAACAGCAATTGAGGTCTTTTCTACGTTGAACGAGAGAAAGGAAAGTTCTCTCCTCTTCCATCTTTCTCTTCAGTGCTACCAACGTGGCCGCATTGAAATATAGAGAGATCCGATAAATCTGTCCTTGTCTAACATCTATTCTGCGCCACTAGACTATTTTCGATGTTATAATGTCTATGTCATGAATGTCATTGAGTGACAATTTTTTCCAATGAAATTTCAAATTATATCATACTTATGTTGACATCATTTGTTAATATCGTTAAATTTGACACTGCTGATTTCAAAAATAGTTCAGTGGCACAAACTAGATGTTAGACAAGGACCTCTATATATTTCAACGCGGCTACGTTGGTATCATTGAAGAGAAAGATGGAAGAGGAGAGAACTTTGCTCTCTCTCGTTCAAGATTGAAAATACCTCAATTTCAGTACCACGATTGAATGCTGTTTTCAGGATCCTCAGATTGTTCATACGATAACGGTTGAGATCACTTATATCTCCCATATTGAAACAGGAGAGGTGGTAGGAATGAGAAATTGAACTGCCAGCTCTTCCTGTAGCAGCTGCGAAAACAACTGGCGACCAGCGATAACGGGTGCCAATGCTGCAGCACAAAGTATCGCGCCTCAACAAGACAGCAAGAGATCTAGGAGACTTTCGCAGATGTCTTTCTAATTTCTTATGCACTGTTGCTCCGTTCGGGTGATTGTATAGTCTTTGCGAGGTTACTTGAGACATTAACCGAATAAGCGTCGGCAAATCCTTTGTCAATCTCTCGGTACCACGAATAATAGCTGTTCTCAGGATTAGTAGATTGTTCTTAGGGAAACGGTTGAGAACACAACTTCATTGTTGTTGAAGCTGCAAAAGCAACCGGCGACCAGCGAGAACGAGCGCTGACTCCTGTCCGAGAAACTTGAGAGCCTGCAGCAGCATCTGGTGGTCAGCACCTGGCGGAGAGCAGACGCAACCACCAGATGCTGCAGCACCAAGTGTCGCGACTCAACAAGACAACAAGAGGCCTCGAAGATTTTCACAGATGTCTGATCTCTCTTTTTTTAATTTCTTATATACTGCTGCTTCGTTCGGGTGATTGTATAGCCTTTGACAATCTGTCGGTACCACGAATAACAGCTGTTGTTCATATGGAAACGGTTGAGAACATGACTTCATTGTTGTTGCAGCTACAAAAGCAACTGGCAACCAGTGAGAACGAGCGCCGACTTCTATCCGAGAAACTCGAGAGCCAGCAGCAGCACCTGGTGGAGAGCAGACGCAACCACCAGATGCTGCAGCACCAAGTGTCGCGCCTCAACAAGACAATAAGAGACCTCGAAGATTTTAGCACATGTCTGATCTATCTTTTCTAATTTCTGTACTTCTTGCTGCTCCGTTCAAGTGATTGTATAGTATTTGCGAGGTTACTTTGACAGTCTTTCGGTACCACGAATAACGACAGCTGTTTCAAGGATTCTTATATTGTTCATATGGAAACGGTTGAGAACATGACTTCATTGTTTCTGCAGCTACAAAAGCAACTGGCAACCAGTGAGAACGAGCGCCGACTTCTATCCGAGAAACTCGAGAGCCAGCAGCAGCACCTGGTGGAGAGCAGACGCAACCACCAGATGCTGCAGCACCAAGTGTCGCGCCTCAACAAGACAATAAGAGACCTCGAAGATTTTAGCAGATGTCTGATCTCTCTTTTCTAATTTCTGTACTTCTTGCTGCTCCGTTCAAGTGATTGTATAGTATTTGCGAGGTTATTTGACAGTCCTTCGGTACCACGAATAACGACAGCTGTTTTTAGGATTCCTATATTGTTCATGTGGAAACGGTTGAGAACATGACTTCATTGTTGTTGGAGCTACAAAAGCAACTGGCAACCAGTGAGAACGAGCGCCGACTTCTATCCGAGAAACTCGAGAGCCAGCAGCAGCACCTGGTGGAGAGCAGACGCAACCACTAGATGCTGCAGCACCAAGTGTCGCGCCTCAACAAGACAATAAGAGACCTCGAAGATTTTAGCAGATGTCTGATCTCTCTTTTCTGATTTCTGCACTTCTTGCTGCTCCGTTCGAGTGATTGTATAGTATTTGCGAGGTTACTTTGACAGTCTTTCGGTACCACGAATAACGACAGCTGTTTTTAGGATTCTTATATTGTTCATGTGGAAACGGTTGAGAACATGACTTCATTGTTGTTGGAGCTACAAAAGCAACTGGCAACCAGTGAGAACGAGCGCCGACTTCTATCCGAGAAACTCGAGAGCCAGCAGCAGCACCTGGTGGAGAGCAGACGCAACCACCAGATGCTGCAGCACCAAGTGTCGCGCCTCAACAAGACAATAAGAGACCTCGAAGATTTTAGCAGATGTCTGATCTCTCTTTTCTAATTTCTGTACTTCTTGCTGCTCCGTTCGAGTGATTGTATAGTATTCGCGAGGTTAATTTGACAATCTTTCGGTACCACGAGTAACGACAGCTGTTTTTAGGATTCTTATATTGTTCATGCGGAAACGGTTGAGAACATGACTTCATTGTTGTTGCAGCTGCGAAAACAACTGGCGACCAGATGCTGCAGCACCAAGTGTCTCTTTTCCAATTTCGTATGTACTGCTGCCTTGTTTCATCTGTGTTCAGGATTCTTAGATTGTTCATACGGAAACGGTTGAGAATATGACTTCATTGTTGTTGCAGCTGCAAAAGCAATTGGCGACCAGCGAGAACGAGCGCCGCCTCCTGTCCGAAAAACTGGAGAGCCAGCAGCAACACCTGGCAGAAAGCAGACGCAACCACCAGATGCTGCAGGACCAAGTGTCGCGCCTCAACAACGAGCTGGCCAACGTCGAGGTGCAAAAGTCCGGGCTGGAGTCGCAGCTGCGACTGGCGCAATGGCCGCAGGATGCTGCGATCTCGGGCCACCAGGAGGAGGAGTTGAGGTGCCAGTTGCAGGCGGTGCAAAGGGAGAGGGGGGATTTGCGTGGGAAGTTGGAGGCGCTCAACAATAAGGTGAGTGAAGTCTCGAGAATTTGCACAATATTGAAATATCCTGGGGTATAGAAAGAAAATGCAACACCTGGTATATGGATTTTATGATAGAATAAATTGCTTGATGAATAAAAACAATGACTTCCATAGCTAAACAGTTCGCATTATCGACCCAATTTAATAATGAAAATATACCAGTTCGGCAAAATTGTTGTTTTAATTTTTGGAAGCTGACGCAATGCTGTTCCAAAAAAAATTGTTGAGACAGAAAAACGAAAAATAACTAGAACAGTCAGCGACCAGATTTTGGGAAATCAAGTCGGTCCGGCCGAGAGAATCGCGTTACGGAAAAGTCCGTAGAAAAAGCGGAAAAACGATTTGTCAAGCATAATGGTAGTTTTCGCTCGTTTGAACCCGGGAGTTTCTCGAGATCCAGAAACAAATTGAGACGACGAATCGGTAAGTCATTTATCCATTGTCTTGACTGATACTGTAGGGTTGCATTTGATTTTATGATCTCAGATTCCTTTATATGTACTATCTACCAGTATCTGTACGTACGTTGCCACCCTACACCGGGTAGTTTTGATCACTGGTACATATAAACGGCGTCTGACCCTTTTTCTTGATGCAATTAACGGCAATATTTTATCTCACGATATCGAAGACTGTCACGTTTATATTGGCCAGAAAACAATCGAAATCTTCCTGTTATCCACTGCCCGGTTTTATTTCGTGTTATTTTGGTTTATAATAAACTTGTAAAATTTCACTCAGAGACAAAGTCAAATGAGAGAAATATCAGCCATCAGCGGCAGGTCTATTATATAGTGCGGTAACTGCTAAAGGGCGCCGTACATTATGCTATTTACCAGCAAGTTCGATGCAATGCAATTTTGAATCGAACAATGCGCATGCGTCTATGATATTTCACGGCAAGTTTCATGCAAGTTTCGTAATAGAACCAGTCCTATTTTTCCTGCAATTTCAAGGCAAGTTTAGTGAAATTTTTAGTAATATTCATTGTAGCATCTTGATAAAATACTAATTTTCTCCATAACGTGGCCTGAAACACCAAATAACCTCAAAAAGTACATTGAAGGCTCAAAAAACCTGAAAATAGTGAATATGAACAAGAAAATATGACAGAAATATCTCAATGTACGGCGACTCAATCTTGCCGAGAAATAGCCTCAAATTTGCCGAGAAATAGCATAATGTACGGCGCCCTTAAGGGAAGTATCGAATGATTTTTGGCCACTCACAAACTCTCCCTCCCTTAGTGACCCTAAAAAGACCCCTTTAACCATTCATAGGGGGCACGAATCCACTAGAGCCCTCAGGACGCAGGAAGCCGAAGCCGTGGCTTTATCAAGGAGATGGGTACATAACCCTCGTGGTATAAAGGAACCCCTTCATATATTTCGTTTAGTGACGGTGAGGTATTACAAAATGTCCGTTTTTTTCAACCCTTTCTGATAATAATGTGAAAATTTACATACGGGAGATTGAAACCATGAAGAACTTTTGTTTTGAAGCGAACGTATGGGAATCCCTATTATGTTCGAAGAACATCTTGCGCACCTATAATGAGGATAGGGAGAGAAGGTAGGTATTTTTTTCAACTTTTGGATAATATAAGCTCTTGGGAACACTTCCTTCGGCAGAAAATTCTGAATATTTCCATCTATAGACAAACGAGTTTTAGTACAGAGGTTGACGATGGTGAGAATGGTTATTTATATTTTTATATCAGGCATAGGTGGTAGCGTAGAATTCAACAAGGTTGTTGGTTCCCCAGGCAGTAATTTAAGCAAGATCTTCATTGGCAACGTTGCCCTGCTGTTGTCGTGAGTTCTCAGCTTCTTAGATTCCTGGAAAGAAATGGGTGTCCTGGAAGAGAGCGCGGTATATGGAGAGTACTGTCTATTGGAAAGGGCAACTGGTTACTACCAGCAGATCATTGATATGGAGTAGGTACAATTTTTTTACCAAAATTGATCCTTTGGAACGCTGGAATTGATTGTTATGGTACCAGACACCACATAAAGCGATCTGCCTAAAAAAAAACTCGATAAAAAAGGCATAGCTGAGGTGGTAAGCCGTATGATGGTAGTTTGTGGAGAAGTCCTTGGTCTAACACTACAGCTAGAGATTTCTCATGTTCTTCTAATGAAGCTTCTTGTCATATATGGGTGACGTATACAAGTAAATCTCCAGTTGATTCTCGATATTATCTATAATATTATCATTCTATAATGATAGCTTTCTAGATATTTGATAAGCTCAATGTTGATGGCGTTTTCCATCACTATGAAGATGAAAGGCATGTTCGTTTGAATTGCTGAACTTGCTAAAGTTGATTTTTTCCCATAGTTGTCAGTTCATGGCATCATGTAAACAGAGAAATTCATAGAAAAAAAATCAGGTAGAGCAGGCACAAACGAACAGGCCTAAAGGGCTGTGTCAAGTCATCCGTCTGACCACAGTGGTGATACCAGAATGGTCATTGGCTGACTGGACTCCCATCAGGGGCCATATTTTTGAATCGGAGAACGATTCCCTCGAGGGAATGCTTGGTATTAAATGTTTACAATGTCACTTTCCAAGGGCTTTTTTCGGTGGATTATGAGAGAAGACGGAACATCTATCGAGAGAAGTAGCCAGGAACGAAATAATTTGTTACTAAAGTGAGGGACACGCCCACTTTTCTATCGGTGGACTAGGTCCCTCGATTGAAAAATAAGACCCCAGACGTTAAAGTGGTAACTTTGTATGCAGGTTCAAAACGTGACCGGTATTCCCTAACAACTGATTGGTCAAACTGATGGTCAGACTTTATACTGAACGTATGTACCCGGTGGAACCACAGACTTGGCACAGCCCTAATAACAGGGCAATAGAACTCTAGTTGTTGGACAGGTTTTTCTTTTCCTAACTTTGGAAAGCGCTAGAATCATTCATTTTTTTACTTGTCACTTGTTAGGTTCGACAGCTGGAAGCGGAGAACCGCACCCTGGAACGAGCAGCCTCCAAAGCGCCTATAGGCACGCGCAGCAAATCGTACGAGCGAGAGCGACAAGAGAAGCCGGAAAAGTACGAGACCGATTCGGCCACTAGCGAGAACAGAGAGCTGCGATTGAGGATCGCCAAGCTCGAGGCCGAATTGGCGGAAAAAGAAGCGGAGCTGGCCAAGTTGAAATCGCGTGGACATACGCTGGACTCGAAATTCGACAGGTAAATCAAGAAGAATGACATTTCAATCTATTGTCTGTTAGAAGAATTGATTGGTTTTGATTTTTTGAAGGTTTTTCGATCGTTTTTATCCCAATGGGTGCTAACATTTTCAGTCTCACCAGTTAGCGCTACTAAAACATGAGGTCAATGTCAAAGTCAAAAATCCCAAAATTTTGCCAGATAGTCCTAAAGGCTATGGCCAGTTTCATCGAGTATATTCGAAAAACATTATGTTGAATATTTGAACAAATAGGTCGCGTGCACGATGACCGACCCTGGAGGTGAAATATTGAAACACAACCTCACTTTTCTGTAAAACATTGAAAAACAACCTCATTTTCATTTGTTTACAGAGGAATCAAAGGTTTGATATAGTTTTTCACAATATTTTGGCATACGAATCGTGCTCTTGCTCTACTCATCAATTCAAGGATGTCTTCTCATTATGCTGTTGTATGTACAAGGCACAAAAAATGCAGCTAGAGACGAAGGAACGTGATTTTTCAGGTGAATAGTAATCTCACATAGTTTTCATTTCTTATCAAAATTCCTTCTGCCACTTCTGCAATAGAAGCTATACTACTACTAATAGATTGGAAATGTCTACAACACACACGATCATATTTCGTCAGCATGTCAGACCAGTCCTCCCGTTCCAATCTTTTTGCATTATTTTAGAAATCTCACGAGTGTTTCTATTACTTCCTATTGCAGGAGGAATTCTGATGAGAAATCAGAGAAATTACCAAATGACAAAAATGAAAACTATAGTAGGTACTTACTTTCAAATCATAATGTACCTACCGGATTCCTTCGTCTCCCGCTGTATTTTTTGTGCATTGTACAACAGCACAATGAGGAGGCATGCTTGAATTAATGAATAACTCAAAAAACACGATTTGTCTGCCAAAATAATCGTGAAAAACCATTTCAATCACTTGTAAACAAATACGAAAAGTGAGGTTGTGTTTCAATGTTTCACCTCCATGGTCGGTCATTTGACAGTTCTTGCACGCAACCCATGGATTTGTCTTGATTTTTTGATGGTTTCCCAATCGTCCGTTCGACACCTTTAACCTTCAGTGCTTTTTTCATCTCCAACAAAAATGCCATAATGCGTTGTCACCGCAATAACGGACATCAACCAAATTTCACTCCAATCGGGCGAATAGAAGCGGGTGAAAATTTAGTTGAAAGCTTCGATCTGAACAAACGTGCCAGTTAAATAAAAGTGTTGTTCCTTTTCCAATCGAGGGCCGAAATTGAGCGCTACAGAGCGGCCCAACTGCAAGCGGAGCGCTTACTAGAGGCTCGAGAGCAAAGCCACCGGCAACAGGTGACCAGACTCGAAACCCAACTCAACCTGCTGCGCGACCAGCTCAACCAGGAGATCAAGCGCAGACGGCAGTACGTGCAGCGCAGCACGCAGGCTGGCAGGTAGTAGTAGTAATATTTGCTATTCAACAGGAGAAAAAAACGAACTCAAAGTCGGTCGACCACAATATTTGATATAAAAATAATCAGCGTGTGACTATAGTTTCTGCTCTACGACCATCTTCAGAAACAATGAAGAAAGTACCTAAAAATTTTTTACATTTGTGCGTCTTTCCTTTCGACGGCTTGTTAGATGAAGCTCAATTGAGTAAATTTCCAAAAATTCATTTTTCCGTTCTTTCCCGATGCTGAACTTACTTACAGTCAAGTTCTTTTGGCTTTTCAGCCGTTACAAATTTTGTTGAGTGCGAGGCTGGATCGATCCTTTGTTGTAACGACCGGATAATTGATTTTTTATATTGTTAAGATATTTTCTACATAAGAGCTATGTCAACTCTTTCTCAGCTACCATTTTGTTTTATATACTATCAAGGGCGTCGCCAGAGAGGGGCAGGGTGGGGCAGCTGCCCCCCCTTTTTCCTGAAGTTGAGAAGGCTCTGAAGATCCTTGTTGCCTTAACCTTGTAAGATTTGTACAGTTGAAAGGTCATTTAGTAGCCTTAGGAGAATCAAAACCTGGTTGAGGATCACCATGTATGATGCTCGACTCAATGGCCTCGCAATGATGAGTATACACAGGCAACATATTTTCAAAAACTTGAACGATTTCGTCAAAAAGTGACCAACGAATTCCCAAAGAACCCTAGAAGATTATTTTTCAACTGATTTACTGTATAGATTTTTTTCTGTTTTTTGATTTTCTCATTAAACTCTTTCTATTTGATTTTTCTCTTCAGGTTTTTTAAGGTGCCCCCCCCCCCCTTATTTTTTCCACTGGCGACGCCCTTGTATACTATATACTAGTACCTAGTTCATAAGTTGACGAAAACTACTTTGGTAGAGAAAACACACGTCACGCTTTTAAAAGGAGTACATAACTGTAAGTTCCATAGCTAGCTTTGGAAAATACAACTATCTACAGTCAGAGCTGGCCCGGGTACTGATTAATTGTATCGGGTAGGTACTTTTCATAATTGAAGGAAGAGTACAGAGTACTGAGTACCTCACTCATTGTATGTACTCAGATAAAAAGAAAACGCAGAGAGAAAAAGAGAACGCAGTAGAAGGTAAAAATGTAATAATGTAAATTTTAAAGAATTGGACTTCTTATTTGTCATTGTTTACGTCTATATGTATCTCTATACCTAAGAAATATTTTTACAGACTACTGTACCCTTGCCTCTAGGTTTTGTCTTCACATAACAAAAACGAAAAAAAAAAGTACACTGGACTCTATAACTTATAACTGTTGTTGTTGTTGTTGTTCTTTATTACCCCAAGAAACATGTTTGTTTATAATAGGGATATATAATCATATGATATACCGGGTGTCCCATTTTAATCTTTATTTGGACATTTCTCGAAATGTATGCATCTGACAAAAAAAAATGCCGAATAAAAGTTGTATGGTTTGGAGGGGGACGTCTGGTTATAAAACAAGTTTCACCCCCTGACTCCAGGGGAGTGGGAAATGGAGGTAACATTGAAATCTTTAATGGAAACCCCTATTTTTTATTGCTGATTCTGGAAGAGCATTCAAAACTATGAAGCTTTTATTCGGGAACTTCTTTTTTATTTTCACAAGATGGCGCTGCGATCTTGAAAAACAATATTTTACTATTTAGTTTGTAGTTGGCCACCCAGATCACCCGACTTGACTTCCCCAGACTTCTTTCTGTGGGGTTACATCAAAAACATTGTGTTTCGCGAACCCCCAACCACACGCGAGAATATGAAAGATAGAATTAGAGGAGCGTGCATGGCTTTAACGCCTGCTATGTTGGAAGCGACAGTGCGGAATTTTGAAAAACGAGTGAACTTGTGTATTCAAGAAAATGGAGGTCATTTCGAACACTTGATAAAGTAGTCAATCTCACTTGAAACCAGCTTTAGTCTGACCTAAATGATACCTTAATTGCTGAAACATGCTTATTTTTCTCTTTTCTATGTAGAGGTGTCAAGGTAAGTAAGTTCGTTTAGCGTTAATTTGTCGTGTGAATATCACCCCAATGGCGTTTGTCTGGGAAAATATCACACCCTATACTCTTCCTCGTCTTCAGGGGGTTGAAATGTGTAAATAGTGAAATATTGTTTTTTACGATCGCAGCGCCATCTTGTGAAAATAAAAAAGAAGTTCCCGAATAAAAGCTTCATAGTTTTTAATGCTCTTCCAGAATCTGCAATAAAAAATAGGGGTTTCCATTAAAGATTTCAATGTTACCTCCATTTCTTACTCCCCTGGGGGTCAGGGGGTGAAACTGGTTTTATAACCAGACGTCCCCCTCCAAACCATACAACTCTTATCCGTCAATTTTTTTTGTCAGATGCATACATTTCGAGAAATTTCCAAATAAAGATTAAAATGGGACACCCGGTATATATAACAATAAAAAAAAAACTAATTAACAAGTTATGTCAATATAACATAATAATTAAAATAAAATCATTCAACGTATTCAAATGAGTGTACAAAATAGATACTCCACGTGTTTGATTCTGGTTCTGATTGAAGTGCAGACTCGACTGATAATGATATAACAGCGGTTTGCGTGTTGCACTCATATGCATGGCATTAACACGTTTACTGTTGTAAACAGTACCCGGAAAAATGTAATCGTATAATAAAAGCGGGTACACTTTTTCCGAAATGCTACGGGTACGAGTACCGAGTACTTTATTGAAAATGTACTCGGGTACTGAGTAGACAAAATGTACTTATGGTACAATATTCGAGTACAAGTACTTTAGGACTGCCCAGCTCTGCCTACAGTGTATTTATTAGGCACTTTCTATCTAACTTTGTGGGTAACACCGCTTCTCCAGAGCAAGAAAAATGAGGTATTAACGCGTTCTTTTTAGTTAGTGCCTGAAGCGCTTGTGCTTCACTGTACTACATCATCTACCTTTCCCTACCCCTATGTCACTTTCAAATGACGAAGCTTTTTTTTTTGTTATGTTCTGATTATTTTCTATTCTCATTTATCGAAATAGGTCAACTTGAAATCATGACATGCTCGTCTCCAGCTGCACTTCTGCTCTTTTCTATTTTCTATATTACAATGGTTTAAGTGAATAAAAGAATGGGACATATATTCTGCTCTTTGTCTTTTCAATTTCCCTAACAGCGCCTGATTGTCAGATACGATTTTAGGGGTAAGATTTCCTGTCAAATCAAGCATATGGTGCTCTTTTCACAATGCAAGGTGTGTAACTCAATGAATCTAATTATTAAAAAACACTAACAGTTGTCATTTCTGTGTCCGACCTGTCATCTAACTAATCCCATCCAGTGACTCTAGCGGACAATAAGAGAGCATGCGCAGTGGCGTTCATTGTGAAAGTTTACTAAAATGCGTAGTAGCTCAAGTGCAAGAAACACTGGGCTGCTCAGGTGCATAAAACATCAAAAAGAAAAAAGCTATTGTCATGATGCGCATTTTTCCATTTAGGGAGATGCAGGAGCTGCGGCAAGCGTTGGGCGATTCGCTGCGCACAGTGTCTCAGGATCCGTCGTTGGACGCGTTGCTATTGGAGCACGAGGCGAGAAAGTTGGATCACACCTTGGCGGCGAGCACTGCTGTGAGTTTACCGCCTGCTTTGGGGTCCTATAGAAGATCGACAACGCCGCAACCCAAATAGGGATAAAGTTGGAGGTTTTTTACGAGGGTGCAAGTTCGTATGATCGCTCGGAGGATCGAAATACACCTTTTCTACGGCTATAAAACAAAATTGAATCTGAATATTAGTTCCCGGCAAATCAACGAGATCTCGCAAAAAAAAACCTATTGGGATTTCAACCTTTACTTTCCCGCTCCGTCATTCTGTCAAAAATGATACATTTCTGACGCCAAGTGTTCTACAAAATTCGGTTGTATAAACAAGTGATCATATAATAATCGTCACACAATTGAATGAACAATTATTTTTAACTTCCGTCAGATGGCACATTGCTTAGCATTAAAACACAATTGTGTTATTATTTCAGAAAATTCTCATAGCCCAGGGTATGTCAAAATTTCAAGTAATGACAGCTCTGTCTAATGGATGAGCATTACTTGACAGATGGCTACACTGCCCTGCTAAGTGAATGTGCCTTATGTGTAAAAATGGCAATTATGAGATACTAGGTACATTTTGGGATCTCTTTACTAGGGAAAAACACCGTATATGTCATAATTAGTGGAAATATTCGTGGATTTTGTTTGCCGTATGTACAAAATTCACTGTGAATACTAGAGAAAAACGCAGTTCCTGCAGTATATTGATCAAAAGTGCAGCATATGCTCTGTATTTACTGCACTCTTCCTTAGCACGTGTCGGTTACTACATTTTTGCTCAGTAAGTTGGTGAGAATGTGCAATGCGTATCTGTCTGTTCACAGGTTCCGTCGGTAGATTGTTTTGGTTTGTTTCTTCACGTCGGTGTATATATTTATCAGAATCCTTCTAAAGTGCCAATATTGCAAGAGTGGACCTGAAGGAAATTGAATACACCGACTTCTTTCTCTTCTGGAAGTACTCTCAACAAAGTAATCAAATGGCAGAAAATAGATTATACTCATAGTAATAATAGTAAATCGACTTTTTCTATCAAAAACGAAAAAGGTGAAAAGGCAATCAAGTGATTTCAAATGTTTTATCAACGTTTTTGCATCAGTTCCTTGAACTCAAACATTCTTCATTCAACGAGTTACTAGGCATAAATGCCTTATGTTAACACTATCTAATTATGAAGCAGTATGTGGTACGTGCACATACGGCATTAGTTCTTTGTAATGGCAATACCATTCCTGCAGTATATGCTTTTTCCAGCAGAAAAACGTGTGGTATTTGAAAAATGGCTATTGAAAACAATGCAAAATGTCAATGTTTCTCAAGAAACACGTAAATCACTGTGCAATTGACCAAAGTAAAATTTAAATAATCGCATATCTCAAAATGGCTGTTTTGTACATACCTACGGCACTTTCGTTCAGCAGGGCAGTACATGACGAAGAAATCGAAAATGCCGCTGTTATCTATTATAGCCGTAGCAAAATTATAGTGTATAACTTGCACGGAATGCTAATTTCCTACTCGAATGATTGCAGCATTCGCCTATGGCACATCATTCCGTGCTCGTTAAACAATATACTATTTCTAAACAGTTTGTAAAAATGAGTAGTATTCTTAGAAACACCTCTGTTGTTTTACATATCCGCGTGCGGTAAAGTGCATATCTCCTCATTGTTTTGTCTGCGGAAAATAGTACCTAACCTCACTAGTTCAGTAAATTAACATGCCCGCACGCTTTTCAGAAAGAAATATTTTTTTCCATCTTTCCATCTATACCGGGTGACTCAAGACTCTTTTCGCCAAGGTCATTAGATGACGTTGCAATGACATTTAAACCTACGGGAAAACATCCTTCCCGTACTTTTTAGGATATTATGTTCCGAGGTTGCCGATGTTTTCAGGACCGGTACTAACAATTTCGATAGTGGTTATCTACCGGTGACTAAGGTTGTGGTTTATTTAAGGAATGCCAGTCATTTTCCAAATTATTGTCTTGATCGTTTCTTAAACATTCATGCTCTGTCAGTATTTGATTTTCAATTATGGCACCCAAAAGTCCCTAATGCTTGTGCACAGTAAACACAAGCAATTAATGCAGTGTCCTGAAAGGAAAGAACGTCATCAAACTGAAAATATATCGAATAACACGACAACGTCAACTCAAACTTACCGAACTTACCAGAGAAAATCCACGGTCATGATGGTGACAGATAATCTACCGCTTTTTCAGCAACCGAGTTCCGTATATAAACTTTTCTCAGGAACCAACCGAGCATTTCATATTTACGGAACGGAAACTACTAACCGATATAGTCAAGTTGATTTACGGAACATACCCTCAATGTCATCGCAACGTCATCTTATGACCTTGGCACCGCGAATAGACTATTTCTATTTGAAACACTAGAAAAATCCAGAAATTGTTCTGGCAAGTCGTGATTCAAATATGTAACTACCTTTGTGTCAATTTTGTTGCAATTTTTACGGGGAGTTTGAATCGTTTTTCATTGATACGCGATATATTTGATTTTTCACTGTTGGTAACATCGATTGACATGTCTGTCATGTATCGTATCGATATATGCAAAAAACGAACAGTTCTGAAAAATCCTACCGACGTAAAAATTGCTGACTGACGATCGATAATAAGATTACAATAAAGATATTTCGAGCTAGACTCTGAAACAGAGATTGAAGACATGCAGGCTGAAGCTGATTCATTTTATAGTTGTTCACGCATCCTCAAGAACTATCCTTCCAATTGTTGTTTATTGGTCCGTGTCAACATTATTCAATTATTTATTCATATTCATCAACATAGTAGGTTTGTTCTCGTTCGAAAAATAAACAGTCCGAAACCATAGGAAGCATGCGCAGTTCCACGGAACATGGAAAATACTAATGGTTCTGTGAAACTGCGCATGCTCCTGATGGTTTCGGACTGTTTATTTTTCGAACGAGAACAAACGTAGTGATATGGAAACTGGTAAAGAGCAAACTGACATCCTACAGAATATTATTTCCCTAGAACATATGTCGCGGTTCCTAATTTCGTTCTCACTGGTTCTTATTCGAGATTTGATTGAGCTCGATCCTATTGAAAAGCATTGAATGTTACCAACAGATGATTCTTGAAACTTATATCACATGAACTGGCTTCGCCCTGTATTAGAAGGTTATTGTTTTTCCTAATTTTTTTTATGTAGTTTATGTACACGTAGACTATTATTTGCACCAAAGATTTTAAGGTTAATTGTTATTATAATTTGACTAATTTATCATAATTTTTATTTATAACTAATAAAATGTTTAGCTGTTTGCCTGTTTGTATACATTTTCTAGGATTAAACACATTTACACTGCCATTTTGTAAGTTCTGAACTCTTAGAGACATAGATGCATTATTATAATTTCATTATTCAGAGTGAGATCAAGTCGCATTCCTCCTCAAAAATTAAAATTAAAAGCTGTTCTTCTTTGGCATCATATGGAAGAGTGAGACTTACATTTTCACATTGTATTAAATGTTATTAATTATATTATTTATATTTTGTGATTCAACACCTTGACTTGTTGATTTGTTTTTTGACATTGTTTACATGTGTGGACGTCAACTTGACAATTTTTCATAAAATTCCACTTACTGTCAACTTTTTCATGAAACATATCAATGATTAAATGAAATATAAATTGTTAATTACTTATTCAAATTATTATTATTATATGTGATTACTCTTAATGATATCCAACTGAAAGGTGTCATTTATCCGTCCAATTTTATTTATGATTCATATGCATATATTAGGCATAATACATGATTCAAGCAACGTTGAGTTCCTTATTGTTTCACAGTCCAACATAAACAATATTTACATTCGTCATTTCCCTAGATTTTTTGGGATTTTCTCTCCTCGTTTTGGATGGAAGGTAGATTCGTACCCAAAATGTCCAAATTTGATTTTCTTCAATGAAACCTTCAAACAAGAGTTTTTAATAGTGAAAATTAGTCACCACAGTGACATTTTGAGAAAAATCTTGTCCTCTTTATTTATGTAGGAACAAAGAGACAAAATCCCAAGGAAATTTTAGAGAAACTAATATTCTAAATTAATTCAATAATTGAATACTTCCTCAGATAATTCGTCGTCTTGATCACTCTCCACTTCCATTTTGGTTGATTCTTCTTTCTCCTTCTTGCTGAAAATGTCCCCTAACGTCGAAACATACTGTAGAGTGTATTTATTGTAGTTGCATCTGAAACAAAAAAGTCAAATGAGAAAGTGAATAAAAATTAGAAAAAGCTCCTAGGATGATGATCTTGGTATGCTCGGAATATTATGAAAATGCAATGTTTTCATGAAAAACATCTATAGTTGTTTTCTATTGCAATGAGAAAGGTAGTGGGTCATGTATCAGAAGGTTCTGCATCCGTTTTTATAAATGATTCGAAGAAAATCTACATTTTCAGAGTACAGCATCAACTACAGAGTGTCCATTTTATTTGTGGGTATTCGCAGTAGGTCATCATCTGTCGTCGCGATGAAATGAAAACTACGGGAAAACATTGCTAACTCCCGGAACATATTGAAAGTTAGGCAAGTTTTTCCGTAGTTTTTATGTTATCGCAGTAGTTATCCCGCCTCTCCAGTCCAGCCCCTCCCCTCCACCTTTCTTCAAACCACGTGACCCGACTAGCCAAACAGAGGCCAGCATTTGGCTGCACGGAAACGTCACGGAAAACCACGGAAATGTTACGGAACACGACAAAAGCGTCACGGACACCACGGAAACGACATTTCCGTGACGTCTTCCTGTTCCGTGACGTTTCCGTGGTATTCCGTGACGTTTCTGTGACATTTCCGTGGTGTTCCGTGATGTTTCCGTGCAACCAAATGCTGGCATCTGATTGGCTAGTCGGGTCACGTGGTTTGTAGAAAGGTGGAGGGGAGGGGCTGGACTGGAGAGGTGGGATAACTACTAATCGCAACGTCAGATGATGCGATATTGAATGAAAAATGAATGAACTAACATGATTTTGAAGTTGAAATAGTAATAGGGTCAAGAGAAGCATTTATCAATTTCAAGCAATCAAAGCCTCAAGGATTTCTCAAATTATGAGAACTTACATTTTGGATATTTGCTCGTTTTTCCTCACAAGACTCTTCTCCAGTGCCAACAGAGTTGGTATGCACTTTTGTGCATTTATTTTGGGGCCGTGCACAGTCAAAATCTGTTGCGCCCAATGCAAATAGTACTCCAAATGTCGGGAACTTTCTAGGTAGGTAGCAATCACCAGCAGTAATCGTTGGACGTGTTTTTCCTCCAAGCTGGACACCACTAATTCGACTGAAAGTATAAAAAATCACAATTTCGTACATTTTTTGGGATGTTGTCTCCTCGTTTCTATACATGAAGATATGAGTATTGTATCAATATGGGGAGAATGGGAGCAAATTCCGTATTCCCATGCTTCAAACATTTTTTTTTAAACAAGGTGTACCTGACTATCCATCAAATTTCTCTTTTAGGTTTCTAATAACGAAATTCTCAAACGAAGTGAAAGTTTGGGTCAAATTATCTAAAATAATACTCATATTTCAACATATAGACACGAGAAAATCCCAAAATACATAAATCATGAGAAAAAAAAATTGTGATGTTGATTTGCAACTATTTCTGCGAAGGTATTCCTTACTTGATATCATAGGCTGAAAATCTACTGCAAATCTGGCAAAATACAAATTTTCAAGATGTATTTGTTGACAAAAAAAATGTATTGAATATTTCATTTGTTTAGTTCAATCAAAGGCTGTAGCAATGATTTTTTGCTAGTGTAAGCCAGGGCTAAATTGAAATGATATTTTCTTATATTTTTTATATAACTTTCTGGAGACACATTCTATAAAAAATATTGACTTACTGTCTTTAGGTGGAGTACTTTCAATGACTTCTTGAATCAAATCCACTTCATTCAATTTCATGGACATTATGAGTGCTGAAAAAAAATGTTTTATGTACTTTTTTCATAGAGAACAGTTAAGGAGAATAGCATATTCTACAACAGGTATTGGAATGGGCCATAGTCCAAACGAGCGAAAAATTTGTGAGGTTCTCGAGTTTTCAATCAGACAATCCAAACTATATTTTCTCTGAAGAGATGTTAGAAATAGGAAAAAAGACAAACAGTTACGAGTTTTTACGGATTTCAAGGTGTGTGTTCAAATTCCCAAACATCAAGACGTCAAATGCAATGATATCTCCATAACATGATGGGCGTAACCACAGCAAAAGTGGCGAATATGAGGACTAATAGTCAAGTATCTTCTTAACAGTCGGCAGCATTCACAAAAATAATTCATTCCTAGACACATCATCAGAACCACGTTTTTTCCACTCCACAACAATCCAAGAAATTTCTTCAGTCTCCTGGGCAAATTAATTATCAAAATCAACAGTTTAATAATATTGTCAAGAAGTATAAATGCCTATGAATTTACACCACTCAAACTCTCGTTCGTTTCAAGATCTTTTATCATTAATTAACTTTTCCAAATCAAAACATCAAGTACATTGTAGTTGGATCAGGCCAGCGGAGTTCAGACATCATTTCCTTCATAATTTGCAAAGAAATCGCTTACCGCGGCGATAATACCTAGGTAAGCGGTATCGAAAGGTAACGACCGTTCCCATTGTGAAAAATTGCCTACCTAGCATCGATTCCGAATATAAATAGTACCCGAATCGATGAGGCATTCATTCATTATCGACACAAGTCATTTTAGTGATCATCAATTGAAAATGTTGGCCGTCTCCCCAACTTCAAGCCTGCTGGTCAACCCCTTGCTAGACGTATAAAGTAAGTACTGTTTTTTTCAAGTGTTGTTTTGCGTTGTTTTTTTCCTTTGCTAACATGTCATGTGGCAGCATTTATTCATGATCTCTTCATTAAATCAATAGATGTCAATTTTATATAAAAACTGTCCGGTCTCTTTATTTGGGGATGAATAGGGTTGGATGGTGAAATGATCAAAGCCTCTTGTCAAAAAGCCAAGCGAGTAGCTAAGTCACGACCTATAGGAGGGTCAACATCTGAGTTGCGACAATATTGTACTAATATATCATTATGGTGATGTATTTGGAAGTTGTTAGTGAAGCCTAGGCAGCTAAGTTGGTATTCTAAGTAAAAGGACCTGAAAAGAAAACTTTTACGCGACTCACCGTTCGCAAAGTCCCGATCCTCCACAGCCTCCCTCACCGCCATTGGCGTGATTCCCAGCTGCAACTCCCACGGATCGAACACGCCGCCCGACCCGTTCAGCGAATAGACCAGCATGCCCTCGGTGGTCGCGGCCGCCCACGACTGCCCAGTAGGCGAAAACCGCAGCGAGAACACGCGCACCTCCGGTCTGACCGACCTGCCCGACAGATCACCTTTCCGTACGCCGGGCAGCTTGATAGAGACGTTGCCACCCTCACGATCCTCGCGCTCTTCTATTAGGGCGATGTTGTCAAAGTCGGTGAGTTTGCGACGGTTTATGAAGTCCTGGGGAAAGATATTTTTGTCTATAGAATGCGAAATGATACTTTTGCGTTCAAGAATGCAAGGTAAATTAACCATTTGAGGACCGCAGCGAGAATACGGTCACCTCCGATCTGACCGACCTTTTCGTACGCCGGGCAGCTTGATAGAGACGTTGTCGCCGTAGCTCTCTTCTATTAGGGCAATGTTGTCGAAATTGGTGAGTTTGCAACGGTTCATGAAGTCCTACTGAAAGATATTTTTGCACCTAAAATGCATTTAAGAATGCGAAGTAAACTAACCATTCGAGGATGCAAATACTATATTTTTTCGAATACTGCATTATACTTCATATGATTTGCCGCCCTCGCGCTCTTCACGACACAGGGCGATGTTGTCGAAGTCGTTTAGTTTGCGACGATTTATGAAGTCCTATGGATAGATATTTTTGTATCGAGAATACCAAATGATACTTTTGCGTTTGAGAATCGATAAATAAACATTCGAAATTGATTAAACACACTTGGAAGAAAATGAACCTTTGGTCCCATATGATACATGCTTTGTCTTTTCATTTATCAAGACCAACTACAAGAAAATCAAATGAACTTACATCAACTGCATCCAGTGACCTATTCTGAGTTATTTCGAACTTCTTGAGTAGGAGAGACTCTTTGACATTGTAAATGCACACGTTCTTAGATTGACCACCGGCCAATAGACATTCGCCATCGGCAGAATAACACAAACTGGTGAAAGACCTGAAAAAAATTATAAAAAGTGCCTAACAAACAATAGATATGCAAGCTGTCGAAAATTCTTCATACACTATTCATAAGAAGATCAATATTTTGACTTCAGGAAATATAAATTCTGTTGATATGAACACCCATTAGTGAATCTAGAAAATACATTTTTTATTTGTCTAGACCCTAGTTTTATAAATACAATGCGATACATTTTTTGATAATAATGATACCGCCCCACTACTGCATAGACTTTTTCGATTCATTGCTGTCTTGACGGTACATCGCTTGAACTGGTTGTTGCTTCCTGTGAAAGCTCCAGCTGCTTTGCATTCAATGTTTATCCAGGTAGTCTTGAGTGCTGTTCTGTATCCTTTGTGAATAACTTGGCAGTTTTGAATGTTAGATTTGAATAGAACCGGCTCGAAGGACCAATATGTTCGATTTTCGAATTGTGATTCTTAATGCAATGCTTCTTGATTTATTGATTTCAACAATATGTCGGCATGTTAACAACGAATGAAAATCTCTTATACTGTACAGGGTATTACAAATACCAAACTATTATATAGGGTCATACAAGTACTAAACACTCTTGATAGTGTAAGACCCGGTTTCACTAACAGATTTAAAGTCAGTGGAGTTGACTGATAGATCATGACTAATTCAAACCATGTAATCGAGATAAGCGGCGATTATGGTATGGTAAAAAAGAATTAATCTCCATCAATCGAGATAATCGGTCATAATGGTATTGTGAAACGGTGTGCAGGCGATTAAATTTGTCAGTTAACTTCAAAACTGAGATTGAATCCGTAAGTGACACCGGGCCTAAATAATCAAATGATCCAACAAAGTATAACCCAGCAAACATGAATAGGCGGTAAATAGGCGGGCCATCGCTGTCAGCAGCGGATATGTATCGGCAGCGGCAAACCGATATCGGCAAAATGTTAGAATGACATAGGTTGTGCCGCCACGGTATGATGTACGCTTATTAAATTTTTTTTCCATCCCGTAATTGACCGTTATAGATAAGTCACAATCGATCCGCTGTCGATTCGACGCTGGAGACAAACTCCATTATATAAATAATCTCATAGTGTAATATCACAATAACAATATATCTCCAGAATACTTTTATGCATTTTCATGATTGATCCCAGCAAACTATCGTCCGACATCAAGAATAATGATATATGTTATATAACAATAATTAAACTCGTTATTGTCTACCAATCCATTTTTGTGGTAATGATTTTGAGCTAAATATTTGTTCATTACCCTATATTATAACAATGATGCTCCAATGCGAAGTTCAGCTCTTTACCTATATTCGAAAAATATTTGATTCACAGTAATAGATCAAACACTGGAAAAGTAATGTGGCTAGAACATTATCAGACTAAACCTATTCTACGTCGTCGAATCAACAAGTTATGATAGGTATATCGTATATGATCAAATATCAAATATAATTGAAGTATTGTACTATTTCAATTCTGTTGACTGATGGATTCGTAATAGTATCTTTCAAGTTTCGCAGTAGCCTAGTGGTATAAGCGTCTGACAGTTGATTGGATATCCGTTCGATCGCAAGTTCGAGTCCGACTCCCGACTATATCTTTTTTTTATTTCTAACCGAATAGTGTCGGTAGATAGTCGGGCGGCCTACTAGCGGCCGGTGCGACACGGGCTAGCCGGGCCGACGATGTATCATGATTGTGGCCCGCTGATGTTGACTGTCGGCAGTTTTTGGAGGGCGTCTAAAGGCCCGCGCGATACATGTTTGCTGGGAATGACCTGAACTAAAACTTTTTCTTACTTGGCTTGCAACGACTTCTTCGCCGTTACCAAATCCGCCTCTGACCTGCCGCTGCCTAAATCGTTCCTGCCCTCTATTGAGCTCACCTGCACCGCAGTCTTCAAGTGGAACACCGTGATCTGGCCGTCCAGCGTACCCACCGCCACCTCCAGACCGTCTGGCTTGAAGGCGCAACATACGCCGTCCGCCGTGAGGTGGATGGTCTCGTGCGCGGAGCCCTTTTCTATCGCGTCCCACACTTTGAGGGTCTTGTCCCAAGAAACAGAGACCATGGCGGTGCTGGTGAGAGTCGGGCTGAAAGATATGCCCGACTGGGAAGGAGAAATCCAAGAGTTATCGTGACTTTTTTCGTAAAAGAACAAGAGATGAATTGGGAAAATGCTGCTCTGCATCCTTTGTGAAGAACTCAGCAGTCTTGAAGGTTGGATTCGAATAAATCCGGTTCGAAGGACCAATATGTTCGTTGCTTGATAGTGGACTGTATTTGATATGATAATGAAATAAATATCGATATGAGAATTGCAATTAGAACTGCAATCCTTCTTTATATTTTGATTTTATTGAAAGGGAAGGGAAATGAAATTAGATGAGTTCTAGTGTCATTTTGTCGTGAAAGAACAAGGGATGATGTGTTGGGTGACAAGTTTTCAGTGGAATCTGTGTTCAAGGCTGGGAAAACAATGAGATCAATTCTAATTCGAACAAAACCAAAAAATGAAGAACAATCGTTGAACAATTATGGCGTGAAATAAAAAAATATTCATAAAAGATTCAAGATCTCACCTGTGAATTTCAAGATTATACCTATACCTATTTTACATATCCATGAAACAAATTCTCTCTACCGTTGCCAGCGTAATACTAATATACAAAAAACATTTCAGATAATATAACATTACTTACCACTGGGCCCTCGTGTCCAGCCAGAATTTCCAGAAGTCTGCCAGTTTTCATAGACCACAGGTAAATTTCGAAAATGTCTTGGCCACCTGCTGCTACAAATTCCCCGCTGCTATCGACAGCCACGCAGGAAAATTGCACCGGTCTGGTAGAAGTGAAAGTTCTGAAGTTGCGATATCTTTAAATAAGAAAAAGAATTAAAAATACGTATACTCGTACGTCTACAATGATTTTACCCGAAGGTCATGGAGAAATAAAAATCTGAATATAGGAAGGTTGTATTAATAATGTCCAGTTTTCCAGTGATTATGTGATTATGCTAAGGATGTTTTTTGTACTTAAAAATACATTCTTCACATTATATAAACACCCGATAGGTACCACAAAATCCGAGTAGATACTCGATTAACATTTCGAATTTCCAAAGAAAATGAAGTAGAAACCTGCAAAAATTCTATAATTCCAAAGGGCATCAAACGACTAGAGTGAGCATAAATTCATATTGACTCAAATTGAAAAGCTAAATAATAGTTTACAGAATATATGCATTACCTAATGATATCATAAGCCCTGACTGTACTGTCCAATGAGGCGGACACCACAAACTTTTTGCTGCCGCTGAAAGCAATTGCCGAAACGGCATTAGTGTGTTCCGAAAAGGTGACGAAACAGAATCCGGACACCAAATTCCACAATTTCACTTTGCCATCTTCCCCGCCGGTGGCTATCGATTGTCCATCGGTCGAATAAGAGACGCAAGACATGTTGTTTGCGTGTCCCTGTTGTTTCATCACGTAAGTTTCACCTGAAACGTCGGTTTTTCAGGAAAAGATGATTAAACAATTACATATTAAGATTGTGCTGGTCCTTCGAGCCGGATCCTTATAAGCACATCTTGGGTAATTATAAACGGGTACGTAGATGCGTATTGTTAACGATTGCGAGAAAACAAGTGTTGGTCAAACTAGGAGACCCATCTGAACTGGGTTCAAGGAACATCTTCGACATTCAAAGTAAAGTTTAATCGATTGCACGCATTAGCGATATTCTTTCTATCTGAACTAACTAAAATATTCCAATAGAATTGAATTGATTCAGTTATTATCCGTTATTTCGAAAGAATTTGATTAGATATAATGCATGTTGACTGATTTAGTTCAGTTCAAGACGTGAAATGTCAGTAAGTTCGGAACGAAAGAATATCACTATTGATAACCATTGCTCCAAACTGCTAAACACTTGAAACGTAAAATCGAAATTTTTCTCTAGGATATAGCCTATTTATGAATTATTTTATTGATAATAAATGCCCGTGAGTTATCTGAAAAATTGTTCAATGTCTATTAGCCAAAAATGGAACTATGAAAAACCATATCACATATAAAAAAAACTGTTAGACATAGGGCCTTTGAAATAATTTTAATTTTCTATCCTGCTGTGAAAATACTTCCAGAATACAATCTGATGTAACATCTTTCTTCACCAAATCTTTCTGATGTGAATAATTGATACATGGGAGAATCGATTCTGACTCATTGTAGTTCTGGTCCAATTTTTTATTTTACGCATTGCTGAAAAGCTGCGTTCACAGCCAGCTGAACTTATGGAAAGGGAGATAGCAATTTGAATTAGTTTGTAGAGGTTTGGGCAAAAGTCTTTACTAATATGCTTTTTAATAGATTCTAGATCTATTTCCAAATCTTTCAGATAGAATAGGAACATCCACACCTCCTATTGTGGAATAATTTTCTATGAAATCTTGGCTTTCTTTGATATTCAACTTTAAAACTGAACTGAAGCATGCCATGGAAGACCTGGGAATCCCAGGGATCACAGAATGTTGAACGTGAAGAGATGCAGACCACACTCCTGCTGATTGCAGGGACAGGCGGACAGGGACGTCTTTATTATTATTATCTTGTGAAATTCATCAATATTTTTAACAGTAAAATATAATATATGATGAAACATTTTCATACGTGTCTACTTTATTTGGTACGGATATTTATTTGAAAGATTTTGGGGAGGGCTGGAAAGGCCTGGGGGGCCACCCATCCATACGCCAGTGTGTGGATAGTGTGTCCTTGTTGTTTCATCACGTAAGTTTCAGTTAAAATATCAACCGTAGGCACGTAGATGCGTATTATTGACGATTGTGGAAAAACATATGTTGGTCAAACTAGGAGAAAAATCTAAACTAGGTTCAAAGAACATCTTCGGTGTTCAGAGTATAGTTCAATCGATCCACAAAAAAATCCAGTGCACACTTGATACACATATTGATCTAAACTGCTCAACACTATTGCATCTCTTCAGAATGAGATTCTACAGGATGATAATCAGAGCTGAGCAATTTTTCCAAAATTTCAAAGGCTTCCCCTCTGGAAGAAAATCCTCCTATTTTTTTCTGAGGTGTTTTCTCAGAATGGTTGTTTAATTTTTGTGATTGTCACACTTGTTACTGAAGTATGAATATTTTTATAAGAGATTGCATGCATGGCTGCTATAATTTCTATTTACTGTGTGTTCTTGTCATACTGGTTGAAATGGTAGGCAAAAATCTTGAAATGATGCATCATCAGCCAAACACAAAATTAATATAAAGTCTTGGGAGGTGTTTAAGCCCCTGGGTGCACCAATGTTATAATGTCAAATTTTTCCCCACTTATGAATCATAAATACCTACTCTGCCATTCCCAAACAAGAAGTTGCCCCAAACCACTGCACCCTAGTGCAATCCAATCACCAGTTTGGTTCAGAGCTATGGAACTTATCTTTTGGTCAGATATGCTCAAAGAATGTATCAGGTTGAGGTCAGGTAATTCATGGATAAAAAATGCACCAGTAGAGTATCCTAAAAATGGTTTTAACTATGAAATTTATTGGATTTAAGAGCTTTGATAACTTTACCTGTAACTAGGATTCTTGATTTTTTATGATAAGCAGCAGATGTCAAAACTGCATCTCTATTTTCCTTCCTGACTTCATCAGCCAAATAGTGTCTAGCCAGTCTTTTGTAAAATAACTTATTCACTTCATGTGTTTTTGTGTCTGCATCTTCCACATCAATTTCTGACAAAGCTTTTGTGATTTCTTCTTCAGTCCTTTCCAAAGACTTTGAAATATCAATGCCATCTTCCTCAGATTCACTGGAATTTTTCTGGAACAACCAACCAAAATAAAATTGAAATATTTCTCAACTTCCAGTCAATTTATTCACTTTTCTCTTTTTTGGTGGTGCAACAACAAGTGGTACCATGTCTTTGGGGTCAACAGTACACTCCCAAATGCAGGTTTGTCCATTTCTACTAATTGTTGTTATGTCATAACCACTTTCTTCAAAAAAACATCCTACTATACCATCAGTGTGATTACCCAAAGAATAAATCCTAAAATTTGCCCACCTACAAAAAAATGGATTTCAAGATTATAAGTTCAAGCACATAGTCATGCTTTGTGCTAATTCTATCTCAAGATTTCCCACTGAAAAAAAGCTCACTTGTCTAGAGGGTAAAGCTTGGTGGCCATATCTTTGGAGCCCACAGCCAAAATCCTGGAATCTGAGGACCAGTCCAGACAAGTTGTTTCATCATAAGCCCCATGGAATACCCTCTCCATCACAAAAGCATTGTATTCTCCAGAGAAAGGACCAGGAGCCTTGAAAACAAACACTAAAACCAAAATTCCAGTCAATAGTCCAACAGTAATGAGGATAATGTACCATTATTTTCTTTACACACAGCAAAATGTTTTCCATCAGGACTGAATCTCACAGCTTGTACTTTCCTTTTGAATCGATATTTGTGAACAATGGTCTGTGAGATTAAGCTTATCATATGAGCTTCTCCTTCTTCATTGATAGCTACTAAGGTACAACCATTAGGGCTCAAATCTAAGGCATTGTAGTTGTACCTGCTTTCAACTGGCAAAGTCGTTGATTTATTACTAAAAGTAAAAAAGTGTTGTGGGCCATGGCAAGAATAAAATCAGTACTCACTTTTTCAAGTCGAAAATGGAAATTCTGTTGCCTACAGTGCTGATCACTGAGTTGCCATCAGGTGTGAATAGTAGGTCACCTTTTTTGTAAACAGTACCTAAAAGGTTCTGGAACTGAAAACAATAAGATAAAATAGCAGCCGTCAAAGAAAATTAAATTTCGAATCTACCTTGTATTGGAATTTCATGATTCTGGTTGGAAATTTCAAATGAACATGATCAAACTCTCCAGATATGAAACTACTGGATAGTGGATGCAGATTTCAAAAAAATGCAGCATGTAAAAAAGATAGGTTATATTTTTGAACTTTTGTTTTCATCTTCTTCTTCTCCATTCTTTAAACCTCAACCAGTATACCACTATTCACAGTATTTCTTCTTCCATCTTTTTCATTTCTTCTAGGAAATAATTGAAATAAGTTATTTCTGTTATACAGGGAGTCACAAGGGCAAAAATTACAAAACTCCAAGGAATTCTTCGACCCAGAGGTGGCAAAATTATATGCAGGAACAGATTCAAAAATTTTATTAATTTTAGAAGAATAAACCTAAACCAAATCCTTCTATCCAGGTCATTTATACATTTTGACTTCCATCAATACACAGGAAAACTTGAATCAATATATTTGGAATATGCATGGAGGCCACCTTTTATATTGAAAACATTCATATCCAAACCCAATTTGCATAAGTGTGCAACAATTGTTTGAGAATCATTCCCTCTCCTACACAGGACATAAACTAAAACATAATAAAACTATTTGTTATGAGAATAAATGATTTTTGAAGAGAAAAACTTACCATTATTATTACCCTGAGACAGTTTATTCTTCAAGAAAGAGGAGATGCCATCACTGTTCTTCAAAATAACATCACAGGGAAAATTCACTGAATTGGGTAAACAGCACATTTCAAATTCTACAGCAGGTCTCACATCTATTACAATGTTGTCATTTTTCAGACCCCTGAGAACTTCCACACTCACATTTTGACATGATAACAAAATGTCTTTATTTATCACCTGAAAGATAGTCCAAAAAAACTTGATGAAACACTCTATGAAGAAGACATACCTTATCATGTGCACTAGACCCACAAAACTGTTCATAATCTATCAAAGATGTAATAGTTGGTTCATCCCCACAAACAACACATTTTGGATTCCTCTGTCTGAGTTTAATTTTCCGAAAACTGCAATTTGAACCATCAAATATCAAAAAACTGCCAGACAAAACATCCATTGATTTTGTTATCACTTTGATGGTTTCTAAAGCTTGTAGCACACCTATCACTCCTGGTACAGCTCCAAGTACCCCACCATCTCCACAGTTAGTCACTGTAAATGCTGGTGGAGGGCTAGGGAACAAACATCTGTAGCAGGGGCCCCCTTGGTAGTTATAGACAGTCAGTTGTCCCTCCATTCTCAAAGCACTGCCAGATACTAAGGGAATTTTATGCAAAACACTAGCATCATTCAAGAGGTATCTAGAAGCTACATTGTCAGTACAATCTAATATTACATCATACTTATTCTTGTTTAAGAGGTCTGTCATTGTTTCACTGTTGGCATGCTCTTTCAGAGGGATTATTTTGATACTACTATTGATCCTATAAATGTATAGTGATTAGTTAGTAGGAATTCCCATAGACAATATGAGTATGGACCTATTCAATGCCTTCTGTGCAGAATCTACTTTGGGTGCATTCACATTATCCTGTCCATGTAGTATCTGTCTATGCAAATTAGATAGTTCTACTTCATCATAGTCCATCAAACTTATTTCCCCTGGTAAAAAAATGATTTAGACCTATGCCAATTTCTGAAATGATATATACTTACCTACACCTGCAGCAGCGAGATATAAAGCTGCAGGGCATCCAAGACCTCCTACTCCAACGACTAGGACTTTGCTGTTCTTTAATGCAACTTGTCCTTTCAAATTTACATCTGGTATCATCATTTGCCGACTATATCTAACTATTTCTTCAGTGGATAGCTGCTCATTGTAATGGCATTTGTTTTTCAGTTTGTTTAGCAAGTTTTCTTTTTCAGTAAGTTCATTTTTGAGCCGACTTATTTCTAATTTCAATTCTTCAATTTCTAGTTTAGAAGACATTTTCATATTCTCAACCAAAAAATGTATGTAAACAAACACATATAAAATATATATAACCTAAAATTTCAGAAAATGAAGTTGACATTGACAATAATCATGTGACGTACCACTACACTGAGATGCTTATATCTACACTACACTAACAAAAAAAATTCTCCCCAGCTTGGTCCAAAAATTCAAATATACATATGGGCACAAATTTAAGTTGAACCCCCGTTGAACCAAGAGGCAGAACTACGAAAGTACCCCTTAATAATCTCATAATGATGGATACTAAGAATGTACTAAGGAAATGGGAATTAACTAGTCAGTACAGAATAAAAATAATTTTTCTTCTTAAAAAGCAGTTATTGTTAAAAAATATAATGAATTAACAAAAATGAAAAAGCAATTGCAAACTCATCACTCAATGTATCTATTCAGCCTTTACAATGAAGTAAAATAAGGAGACAAAGAAACTACATCCAGGTAAAAACACCTGAACAAAATACTATTAGGTACACAGAAAACTGACTCAAAAATGTACATTATCTCGATTTGGGAAACTATTCCCCTAGCTTTGTCATCCTATTTTATCAACTCTGTAACTGAAGAAGAAGATTCATTAGTATATCAATTCATATTTATAATATAAACAGTCTGCAAATATAGGTGATTGAGAAAAATTCGATTTATAAATAAAAGTTAGTGGGCGAAACAAATATGAGTTATCAAAATGCATTGTTAGGAAACTAGCACATTTCCTCTAGCTTCTGAAGAAGAGGGATGTTCTTCTTGTTTTGGATTATCTAGTCCTCTAAATTTGATATTGTGTTTTTCTCTATACTCATTGATCTCTTGTCCTTTTTTACCAATCTGTTCATGAAGTTTGTCAATAAAATCTTTCAATTTCTCTTGATTAGACACAAGAACAGGCAGAATGTCTTTAACTTTTCGCTCTGTCAAAATACCTCCTATTAATCTAAAGCATTTTCTGTCTTCATTAACGTTCTTTAGAGTTTCAATCACCATTCTACAAATGAAAGAAATAGTTATAAGCAGGGCATATCGTTGATTTATGATAAAAATACTCACTTGTGTTCATTCAAATCTAATTCAAATTCAGATAGTTTACCAGATAAGGTTCTTTGTTCTGCTCTTAGGGTTTGGAAGCCATTCAGGATTTCTTCTGGTGAAGGTTCTTTTTCTGACTTTTTTGTATTTGCCATTTTGTAGTAAAGGGAATTTATCCTATTTCATAAATTATTGCAAAATATTCGGGAACCTCAGCAACAGCATGGAGATGACAGTTGAATGAAAGAGTACAGCATTGACATTGACACTATTGACAGTTGACGAATTGGTAGTCAGGTTAGCCAACACTATTTATTAGGTTGGAATTTTATTCAAGTTGCCAACCTTGTTTAATCATTGCTGAATCTTCCAAGGATGGTAGAACTGATGATTTACCAATCTTGACACGTACTCTAGAGGATGCAAAAGAGACAGAGCGCAATAAAAAATCCATGCGGAAGCGTACAGAAAATTTCCGGCCGAGCTTCGCTCACGGCACATTAGAGCTCATGGCCAATCCTGAAAAAAAGCATCATCGATGTGAAGTTGGTCATAAAAAAAATTGGTGGGGAGTACGGAATTTGAACCGACAATCTTTGGCATCTCAAGCAAGTACGCTCACTGGCCATTATGTTTCTGGCGAACTTATGTACAAAACATAGGTATATGTTCTTTTTTACACCACATTTTCATCAATTAATTCATCCATATTTTTTCTTAGGCAAATGGCAAACAGCTTTCAAATCCAATATTTAGTTTTTTGTCCTTTGAGGATATGCTGTCGCAAAGGTAGATACATATATCAGAAGCCGGAAAGCCACCAAAATTCTTCCACCAATATCGGATCGGTGGAATGGTTTGCAATTTGGTTGACACAACAGTAATAAAGGAACGCGTAGTTACGTCACAGTAGAGAGCTTACGTCAAACTGGAATCCACTAAAGAATTATATGAACACAGTTGGTAAATTGATGGAGCCACCGGTGAATAAAAGAACGTCCCTCATTTGAGAATAATCATCACCACACGGATTATTCGTTTCATTGCATCCTTATGGCGCAATATATCAATCAACGTGACCGTAATATATCAATCAACGGTATCACCGCTTATGGCCTCTATGGCACGGTCGTGGATCATTTCGGGTAGTATTGAATTCGTATGTCTTTCGATCCCTTCAAAGATATTTCCATGAACGAAAATAATGAAATTGCATAATAATTTAAGTCTGGTTGGAGGACACTCTCGTTTCTTACTATAAACCGAAAACCGCATCTATATAAGATTGATGATATAATATGGCTACCACCAATTTCTTGTTTACTGATAATTTGGAAAAATACTGTGAATGCGTTTACTTATGGATCAAACGAAGAATGAAGCGCTCGTTCGGAACCACACATAATATTCCATTAACTGTGACTATTAACATCAATTTCAAACGGTTGAAAGCTCGAATTCAACTGGTCACTTGGTCAGTATACAAGGCACGATGTACGTGTACAAGGTCAGTACTGTCATCAAGTGTCAGTAGATCCACTGACTACTAAAAATCTGTGTTCCAAAATATAAAATCAAAAATACAGTGCTGTAATTCGGAACACGTTTCTGAGATGTTTATAATTCCCACGTTTCCATGGTTTTCATCTTTTTCATCAGTAATCAGCGTTCAGTGGTAATCAGCAGCAGTTGTTCAGCTGGTGAGATTTGAATATTTTCTCAGCGTCTTTGATAACATACATTTTCAGATAATAAAAGTTGTATTATTGATTTATTATTAATAAGACAAGACTCGAAGTTTAAAAAACTACGGACATAAATGTGATATTCCTTTTCCCTCTAAAATAATGACATTTCACTGAAGCCACACTACCTTTTGATAGTCAACAATTTCAGGAGAATGTTGAGTCGAAATATTTGGAATGAATATGCCCCGAATTTATAGCCGTTTCCTCAAGAACACATCCTCATCTGAGGATTCCTTGACGACTCCTCAGTACTTGACGTTAAACTTGTTTTATATACCTCCCTTGAGTATTCCTTCTGAAAGGAGCCCTCACACTTGGCAACAGTGTATAATTTTAGTGTTCTGTGACCAAATTTGTTGTTTCATGTCACGTGTTTGTCACAAAATGTAAAATGTCAAATTTGACAAAAATACTTCAATTTTTACTGTGGACATCGGAAGATTCAATAATAGTCCAGTAATATCTTCAAAGGCTGGTTCAAATTGGGCCTAACAACATGTTTCATTTGTCACAGACAAAATATATCCAAGGTTCCGCAAAATAAAGAAGGGGTTGAAGAGTCTCGATGACGATGTTGTCAAATAACAATACAAAAATGAAACTATTGAAAACGAATACCTTTAAGCTGCAATCTGCAATGGAATAATATCCGGGGGAAGAAGAAGAATATCTATTTGATTGAATACTTCGAATGAATCTGTGATTTTGTGTTCATTGAAAATGTATGTATTTCAATTTCAATGCTGAGTTTCCATTATTTGTAATACATACCTATTATTCGAAATAAATATGTTTACTTTTCAACTAAACTTGAATCAGCTTTTTCATCAGCAATTTCATCATTCCATTTATGGAATCCAGAAAAGTGTTCCAGATCAAACACTATCCAAACCCGTGAAATTTTTATCAAATGATATATATATCATCTTATTATCTACATATTTTTAACATAACCTGGAATAATACTAGAAATTGGATCAAGAAATGCTCAAGGTACCTCTTTACATTCCTTGGAATTGACATTTCCTTGGGGCTTCCTTCGAGCTCATATTACGACTATAAATCGGAAACTGAACCTTAAGGATGCCTTAAGGGACGAGGTCACCATAAGAAGCGACTATAAATACGGGCCTTTAGTATGTCTGCTCACAAGCTCACTGGGAATATAGCCATAATCATTAGAAATCAGCATTCATTGGGCGAGTTCCGATATTACTGAATATACTGGTGACAGGTAATAACGAAACGATTTGAGTTTCAGTAATAGTATATTACGAAATATTTGTTGTAAGAAGCATGTATTACGCACGAATGGAAAAGCTACGCACGTAGCCACGGAGCGGCGAGCGCGTATAATTCCATGAGTGTGTAATTGCTTTACAACACGCATTACGTACTATACTTTTCCTACGACTACTACTGTAAGTGATGGATATTGTACACAAAACAATGGCAGTAAGCTTCTCCTTACACACGTGTGCGTAAAGAGAGCGATCCTCAGATGAGCGATCGCACGGTTTTCATAGGTATGTTGATAGATGACCTTGTTTTGTTGCTTAGGCGATGTGTCGATAACAATTAACGATTTCATTAATGTCACTAGCTAGGTGGGTAGGATGTTGGAAAAAGCTAAAATGGTAAAAAATTAGTTGCTACCCGCTAAGTCTCGTGAATAATACGAAATAGCACATCAAAAATTCCTGGACTGGAGAATTAGAAATAATACCTACCGTGTCATTTTCGGAAAAATCCTTTTAGTATATTTTCAAGAATAATCAAATTCGATGAAATCATCATCACTCTGGTCGATATATTCCATGTTACGATCGATCAACACTAAATATCAATCACAATATTAATATAGCAACATATTATCCCATATTCTCAAAAGGGAAGGATGGATTCCGAAGTAAAATATCAAAAATACTCAATGCTGAACAGATCAATTATTTTCTGCAGAATGCTCCTGTTGAAGGTAATTTTTCTAATAACATACATACTCAACATTGAATTGATGAATTCCTTTTTCTTTAAATAACAGCAATAATTTAAAAAGATCAATCTTCGAAATTATATTAATAAAATATCTACTAATACGTAGAAATGGTGGTAGCTCAGTTGTTGGGAGCGCTGGCTCCGAACCCAAAGGTCGGTGGATCAGAGCGCAGTTGGGAGAACTTTTTTTTTATTATTTTTAATAACGATTACAGAATCTCTCGTGCTGCTCTGTTACAAATATATAACCATTATGAATGATAATTTTATATTTTTAAACAATGTGTTTTTTGCTACCTATTATATAATAAAGCTGTTTAGATATGCAAAACGGCTCCATTTCAGTTCGAATTGAGGAAAATGTCTCGGTATGCAACGTATCAATAAACAAACACAAGAATTGTGATATGTAACTTTTCATGCATCTGGCTTAGTGACGGGAGACGTTTCATATTGGTATTAGTTATTTGTGCCTTAATACAATATCTGCACTATCCGGAAGAAAATATAGTGTAGTCGTAGAAAAAGTATAGTACAATTCTCGAGTTGTAAAGCAATTACGCACTTGTGGAGTTACACACTCGCCGCTATGCGGCATCGTGTGTAACTCTCTCCACTTCGTGCGTAATATGCGTTTTACAACTCTTGTTATGTAATATACTATTACCTATTGCAATATAGTTTACAGTCGTATTCAATAAAATAAAAGAGCGTACAAGTATATTACAGTATTGGCGTAAAAAGGTCTATCGGGAATGAATGTTTACCAAATGTTGACAGTGAAGTTCTCGTAGGCACCCAAAAACTCAAAGCATTGGCTGAGTAAGTTTCACACAACTAGAACTAGGATATCGTTAACCTCTTTTTTTGATACTTGTACGATTTTTTTATTGAATACGTCTGTACATCAAAAAAGTTTGGACAAACAGTCTGAATTATAATTCTTGACAGTTATGTCATCCGCTGTTGACGGCGATTAGCGATCATGACATACTTATACTCGCGGAATAAACGAAAACTGTGCGTTGTGCTTACTGTGCGTGAAGAGCTACTTACTGAGGCTGTATATTCTGTGTTCTTGCCTACTTTATTTAGTGGCCGTAGGTAAACCAACAAAACAACATCGAAAATCGAAAGATCATGGGTTATTAAGGTTATGTTTTGCTGTCAGTGTACCAGTACTGCCAAAATCGTTTCGAAATGAGATGAAAATTCAAAGCTAGGGTAGGTGACTTTTTAGTTTCGTGTTCCTTACTTGCTGACTTTGGTCAGTAAAGTCAGCAAAATCATTGACCGGTGTCAGCAGGGAACAGTGAATTTCTAGCCTTGCACAGGGCGGGAATGAGGTGCCAGAAGATATCAGTAATTTCGGAATAGTCTAGACACTACTGGCACAGAATATTGTTGGGTATTCTGTGCTACTGGACAGTTGGGAATATCTCGACCATTGGCGATTTATCGCTGTATCTAGGAAACTATTATTGTGGATTATGAGTCCTCAGAGAAATTCTTTTAAGGACAAGGCACTACTTGCCTCTGGCTCAAAATTTTTTTTCATTCATTTCATTTTATGTCTAGGAATTTAGAAAGAAAATCAAAATGATCCAGCATTGAAGTGTGAAATAAAGAATGCAGAATTATCATAAATTATCATATATATATTCAATTTAGTTTGACATGACATTAATACAAACATGCAAATACTCTGTGTCAATTTTATAAGAAGTGTGTTATTCAGCAGAGAGGGATGACTTAATATTAGTTGAAAGATATGATTTGAAATCATTATTAAGCGTAGGTACCTTAAACTAAAAAATGAAGCGTAGGATTCTTCAACTAAAAATAAGTTTTCCAATTTGTACTTTTGTATAAAAATATATCTTTGTCCTTCCAAAATGTACACAAAAAAAATAGGCGACGCTTTTCTAAGTTTATTTTCATCCAGGTTGACTAGAGCTAGATTGTGAAATATTAAATGAAAAATTTCCATAAAAATCAAAACAAAAAAAGAAAAAATTATGATAGGAACGCTCTGACAGTTGCTTCGAGCGGCTTCCTGCAAACCGCGCACTGTTTCAAACTAGAGGCACAATCCACACAGGCGACAATGTGTCCGCAGGGCAAGAAAACCACAGCAAGTTCGTTCTTATAACAGATTTTGCACAGTGTCTTTTCCGCTTCCTCGGACACCACCCCTTTCGCCTTCGGTGCCTCAGCAGCCTCTTCCTCTTTGGCTTCAACACCACTCGTCGACGGAAGACTCACTTCTGCTGCCGATCTAGCCTTAACTCTCTCAATGAACTCCTTACCCTTCTTCAGGTTGAGAAACACGCACTTTCCAAACCAGAGGGCGTGCTGCTCCCAAGGGTCGTCTCCCTCTTCCCAGTCTTTAAGCCCGCCCCCACAATAGAAGCAAAGTGTCTGGTCACCCACCCCCGTATAGAAAAACCCGGCGGCGGCCAAGTCTGCAGGCCTTTGTTTCAGGGACCTGGGCCAGTTCTGGAAGGTCTCCACACGGCTCTCAAACAGCGCCTTGTCCTGGTGCTGGGGGCCTTTGCTCTCCTGGATGCCAAGGCGCTGTAAATCGATTTTTTTGCCGTCTTCTGGCAGAGAATTCGGAAGGACTTCGACTCCGTACAGGCCGCAAGTGTCTACCGCCCTGGTGCTGGTTTCGGCGTGGTCGCTTTCCAGTTGCGATTGTGATCTGACAAAGGGACAGTTAGGGCTCCAGACTCTGTGGTCCCCCATTGGATTGTCGCCCGATTGCCAGCAATAGCCTTCTACCTTGCAGAAGGGGCAGCAGACGACATCGTTTCTGCCGATGTAGATGAAACCAGCACTAGCCAAATCTTCTTTGGTCACTTCTTTGTTGGGCCAGTTGCGGTAGGTTATGAGTCTGTCCTCGTAGGTGAGATAGTTTTCTATGGGGGTGGGGGTTCTTGGTGTTTGTTGAGATTCTTCGATGGCGGGTTTTTTTGGGCCGTTGTCTGGTCGATCTAGATAATTGTTGGGACGGAACGGTAGTGCTTGATTCATTTTTGCGTCAACTCAAAACCAACAAATCTGCAAGGAAAAGAACAAATATGTTAGTTCGACGCACATTTGCAACAATTTTTCATTTTCACAATTTGGTTTGTGGAAATTGATAGGCCTATTATTATTAATCATGTTTTGGAAACTGTCAAAGCGTTCCCTAATAATAATCAAAATACGAGAGGAATATTCAATACTTTACTATACATAATACTTGATCTGCAAAGGAATGATACATTCCACATTCTGAGGAACTTATGATATATGATAGGCTGAGTTATAACTCGGAATTTTACATCAAAATTCCGACTTACATCTCGGAATTTTAAAATTCCGTGTTATAACTCGGAATATTGGATGTAAAATTCCATGTTATAACTCAGAATATTGGATGTAAAATTCCGAGATATGTCGGAATTTTACATCCAATATTCTGAGTTATAACACGGAATTTTACAATTGTTTTTATTTTATGTGTCCCTTCCAGGCCTTTGTATTAAATAGCTAATCATTTTCATTTAGTAGGCTTGAAAACAGATAGGCAGTTGAATTGCATTTTGAGTGAGTTGTCACTTGAAACCCATTGAGTTTCAAGAATGTCTTCCAACATGGCACCCAGACATTTAAAAAAAAACGGCGAATCTATACCAAAATATAATTATCAAAATTACATTGAAAAACAAAAACATAATACCTAAATCAATCAGTAGATCTCTAAACTTCTAATTTTTAAATCTAATAACTGATGAAAGCAACAATTTATGAAAAATATGTCCCTTAATTGACAGATACTGAAGTGTCAACTAGTCTAATTGATGATGATTTAAGATTTAACTAGTATCTGTCAATTAGGACTTATTGGCGCTGTGTATTCGTCAGGTATGTCGCTTCTACGCTTTCGTATTCGTACATAGTAAAATCAAGAAGATCCATGATTTTGAGGTGAAAAACCAAAAGGCAAATCCCACTTTTTCTATAAAATCGTCATCAGTCCAGAAAACTAAGCTACCAAGGGAGCGAAGTCTACCATTTCTTGCCGGTCCGAGTTCACCGTATGATAAGTACAGATTTTTCGAGTACATTTGCACCGAACGGAGCGCAGCCACCGTCGAGCAGCGGCAACGCTGTTAGGAATTTCAGAAACCATTCACGATTCCCAGCATTCTTGCTCCGCTCCCCGTCTACTCGGCCATCGGAGTGGAAGGGACCGCATTCCATCGAGATCACATCAATGACCGAGCGCCGGAAATAAGAAAAAATAACCCGAAGGATAGAGAGACCGACGAGAGAGAGACAGAAGATAGACCTACGCTGGCACCAGACTGTTCTCGGAAAAACACCGGCAAGGCGTTAACGAAGAATGGAAACGTCGCCAAATTCGATGCCCGCTTTTTACTGGCGTTTATTTTAGGACACGATACCATTCCACTACTTCCACTAGGTTAATTTCGAAAGAACACAGCTATTTTAAGTGGAACAACAGAAGGCTAAACTGCGCTACGACATATGGCTTCTTTTGTACCCTAGTATTCGCTCGTTTCCGCCTAAAACTACTACACAACCGACTAATGTTCATACTAACCTTAATTGGTAACGTTTCTTGTAGTTTTCATGACGATTTTGCCATTTTTTTGACGTTTTTTTGGCGAAGTTTTCACGATATGGCCGAACGAAACGAAAGAACACAGACCCGACTGATTTCTCTTTAACAGTGTTGCCGGTGTTGACCGTGCCGATCGAGGTATTTCTCCGGTGTTGTCGGCAATACGAGTTGCGAGTACGTGGCAAAAGGCAAGAGAATGTGGTAGAATTGCCTTTCGTTCGATAAATTATTATTAGTTCCATTAGAAAGGTGCACGTTATATTACAGGAAAATAAGATAGAGAGATCAGTCGGATAGCCGAATACCAGAAACTATGATGAACCCACCATGTTTTACCACACCTAATCATTATGATTACCTACTATTTATTTGATTGATTTTTTTGTTTCAATAGATTGCAGCATATTTTAGCTAACTCAAAACCTCCCCATTGAATATATAGATTTAGATCTTCAAAATAATGTTTTAATTACGGTATACATATTGTAAACATATACCTAGGTGCTAAGTACTTATAAATCAAAATGACCAAAATTTATAGTCGTTTCGGTTAGACTGTGCTTAGAGAAGTAAATTCGTGAATATTTCGGAAAGGTCTATTGAAAATGAAAATTTGTGGACGTTCTCTATCTCGAATAAGCAATATCAGAATATATCTAGGTACAGTGTTAATCATTAGATCATGGTACTCACTATTTTCTTCAAATAAAAAAAAGTACAGCTATTTCAAATGAACAGTTGTGTGCATAATGAAGTCGTTCAAGGTTTGTATGGTGTAAACCTGCCTATCATGTTCCAGATGTCATTAAAGATTTTGATACTACTTTTCAAAGTTGATCAATAGCCAATAACTGCTGTACAACTTGTTTATGCACACAATTGTACCATTTAATCATAGTTACTTTTATACGATTTTACATGTCCAACTTCTTCGACTGCCCAATTAGTGCGCCAGAGCGAACAAAATGACACATGACCGAAACTCTTAATTTTTCAACACTCATAGTGCATAGGAAAAAATTTAAAACAATATTTTTGCAGAGAAAAATCACTAGTGGTTTCTACCACCTTAAACGTACATACCTACAACCTACAAGCCTTCTATAAACGAACATCTCCTCAAGTTGAGATTCCGTTCGACACCAAAACAAATGAAAAACGGTATGGGAACTCTAACACATAACAATCGTCATCATTACCCGATTTCCACGCAAGAAAATCCAGAATTACGACGTAGAAGCGAAAAATCAATGACTGACGGCATAACGCAGAGCTCCCGCCGAACCGGACACTCCGGCAACGCGGTGCGCGTCGCCGACGATTCCGAAAGCCGACAGGCGCCGCCGTTGCCACGGTTCCGTTGCGGCAAAGGCCCGTAAGGCCCCGAGACTCTCCTCGGCCCGATTCCAAAGTCTCAGGCGGCCGCGGATCGACCACCCAGACGAGCATCGAAATTAAAATCGAAGAAGACGGAGAGAGAGAGAAGGAACATGAAACGAGCCGCACACGGCGATAAAGCCGAAGATGGGCAAAAAAGATGACGGAGGGTATTCGAGAAATACAGGGTGACACGAGAAAATGTGAACGACCTCCCCCAGATGCCAGAAGCACAATTTTGATAGGCTTTTAAATGGCATATTTGACAAAATACATCACTGATTCTGGTTCTGGTGGAATAATATTAAAATCATTGGAAAAGAAGATAACAACCAGAAGAGAAAAATCAAGGAATCTGCTTGCATTCTTCTGAACGGAGACAATATCATTGCTTCCTGTTCAGTTGATATAGATAGAACATGGTATTCACTATTGAAATCTGAAAATGAAAATGGTAAATTCAAGATCAATTAATGAAAACATCCTGTAACTCATTTGATTGCCAACGTCACCAATTGCCACTGATGAGAACTGAAAAGTGTCAGGACAAAAACGAATTTGCGATAGAAAAAATCCATTTTTTATGTTGAAAACGGGAGCAGATTCGTTTCCGAAACACATATATATTGAAATAATATTCATATTTTCATTTAATAGAATCGAGGAGAAAATCCCAAAAAATCTAGTGTAATCAAAAGATTATCTTGCCTTTGCCGGAAACGGCCTAGGCATAAAAATAACTATCATTTAGTATGTGCATGTTCAACATAACGATTGCTAGTTTGAATGTTTTTTTTCACAGTATAGGTAAATACCTCAAAATCACATGCGGCATTGAAATATCTGACAAATGAAACACTTGACATTCAATTCAGTGACACTTAATTTGACACATTTCATGATACATCTCAAAATTTTATGAGAATATCTTTTTCTTGTTAACTGAGGGTTTATTTTTCATTTCATCTAATTTTAAGCTAGCTTGTCAAAAATTCGATCAGAAGAAAATTTATAAAACGTAATAATAAAAAGGGTGACAGTCGCAGTTGAAATTCGAAAACAATAATAGTCAAAGCCTACTCATAGTAGATATCTGAAGTATAATTTGATTTGCTTTTTTGTTCTAGAAAATCGGAAATTATAAGCACCGCGCTATATTGTTTGGGTTGTTTTTTTTTTCAGTCAGCCTGTATTATTCGTTATTTAAGAATAATATTAATAATAATAATCGTTAACACTAGACCTGTAAAAGGTTGTAGAAACAAACGGGCGTCACACAATATAGGCTTCTAAAACCATCACAAAAATGTATAGTACAAATAGAAACCATGAAAATAGATAGAAATAATGACTAAACAAATTATTTTAAGTTTGCCTCAAGGCCTTTATGGAGTAGGGCTCCAGGTTTATTAGAAGTTTCCATATATCTTTTTTAAAAACGTTTGGCGAAGAAAGAGACTTAATTCTTTCTGGTAACTTGTTGATACATTTTATTGAATTATATAGAGCATTTTTTTCTGTTACCGCCAATCTATATGTGGGAAAAGAATTATCGATTCTTAGTTAAAAACAAGAGACACTCCTGAATATACACATCAACAATTGTTAATATTTTAGCTGAACTAAACTTCCTCCTACATGATTCTCTATAGTTCAATTTATACATAATTCGTACAACCCTTTTCTGAATAATAAATGAGTGGTCTATAGAACTACTACTGCCATAGAACACTATACCATATATCTGAAGATTGATTCAAAGTTAGCATGATACACAACTTTAAGGATACAAAAATTCAGATGCTGATCATTCAGATCCTAAATGTTCAATAAAATGTATACCTACACATTATGTAATGATTGTACAAACAGAAAAATATTTGCGGTTACCTGCAATGGATGAAGACGATACGATTCATTTTCAATTGTCACCAACTAGATTCGAATCACAACTGAATCAAAATAGGCGAAATTACTGGTAAGAATGACATGCATCATGCATTAATAAGAATGATCTACACAAACATGCGTCATAGTTTAAAGTGCAATCACGTGTCAGTCAGTACATAACATAGATGCATTTTTTTTTTTCAATGTCATATATATCGCATCGATGACAGACTTATTATAATCAAATCGCCGATTTCCGGTGGGACGAATGTACAGCACCGTTCACAAGAAAATTAACGAAATTAGCTATTTATAACGCGTTAACTATATACAGTCAACTTCTCAACATCCTAACTGAGACTGGGACACATAAAAAATTAGCAATATCAAATTGTGAGCCATGCCCTCAGCGTGTAGTGATTTCTCTGATCTCATAGACGAGAATCTGGTGCATTTTTTATGGAACACCACTGTACCTCAACTTCCTGGGAACATTTAAATAACCATACCTACGTCAAAAATTCGCAATTTAATATTATCATCTAGCTTGTTTATCAGCCTTCGTCATGACATGAGAAATATTGTAGTGAATAGGCGGAAACCCACACTGGGGAATTTTCCTCCAGTGGCGGCGACAGAATGACGATGATAAGAACTCTAATCTTCTTATCTGTTCACAATGGAATAACCTCTTGTAATGACAATCACTAGGTTAGGTTAGGTTCCATGTGAGTGGGGCGAATACCTCCCCTCCACTGCGACCCCAGATGGGTCTATTGTGGCTCACCCCTAGAGGTTACAGTTCACCGTACAATCCACATCTTTTTACAAAATTCATGGTTGAATTGGGCGAGATTTGTCTGAAATCGATAGGTTCTAAATTGGTAAAGCCAAATGTGTCGAACCATAGTCTTTCTAAGCTAGAGCATGAACATAATATGTGTTCAGCCGTTTCGTCTTCCACATAACAGAACCGACAGTCCGTTTGTTGGTTCAGACCCCTTCCCAGGTGGTAGGTATCTTAGACGACAGTGTCCCGTAAGCAGTCCAGTTAGAATTCGCAGGTTACCCCTGCTCCATTCTAGGATCTGCCTGGTTATTTTTTCCGATGGTTTAGGCAGGAACGCCTTCGAATGGGTTAATCCTGGTAATTCAGACCAGTACGTGAGTGTTTTTCCCTCCGCCCAGCCTGAGATAGTTGTCTTCGCCGCACTTGCGGTGACCCCAAAATATGGTTCTGGTCCTATGAACACAGATTCGGTTCCCTGTTTGGCGAGGATGTCGGCTTTCTCGTTACCCTCCACCCCCTGGTGTCCAGACACCCACAGCAAAGTGACTCTGTTGTTAGCACCCAGGCATTCTAGGGATTCAATACAGCTCCATACAAGCTTGGAATTTATTAGAGTAGGCCCTGGCTGAACCCACCGGCTCCAACTCCAAGAGGGGTTTTCGAACCATCTGTGTACATTACGTGTTCGGTCTCTGGGAATTGGACTGACAATCACTAACTAAATTACAAGATTTCAAAAACAGAAGAAAGTCATCTCCACAATATTGTCCTTATGTACAGGGTGATTCATCAGAAAATGTCCCCCCCTATTATAGCTCACTTATTTTTTAACCGATTTGAAAATTTGAAAAATCATTTGAAATGATTGTTCAGAAATTTTTGTCCCGTTGCATCAGAAAATACAGGTTGCTCGGAACAAACGATCTACAGAGTACTACTTGATTTTTTCAAATCGAACATCCTGTATTTCATTGTAATTTAAGATTCTCCCTGAGGAGCGGATTTCATCAATGTATCACACTTGGGGGTCTGTGGG